TATAGTGGGTGACTGGGTGTGTTCCATCTGTTCATTTTTCATATTGATATTTTTGCAGACAATTAGAAATGCCCATTTTCTGGAAAATTATTTAATTTTGACAAATATTTATTTGGGATTACTCATTTTATTGATTTAATTGTGGGTGTGTGTTATTTTTTTGCTGAATATTTAATTTTGTTATATATGCAGACAATTAGGAATGCCCATATTCTGGGTGTTACAGATGAAGAAGGTTATGTGAACTTAATCAATACTCGTTTGAAGCTTAAACCTTCAGCAACCTACCAAGAAAATGCAGGTTTCTGGAAAAAAGAAATTTGTTATTGTCTGCTTCATAATCAATTTTGATTTGGGGTTTTATAACGAATCCTTCTGATGAGCTAATGAGGTTTATTGTTGTGCTTTCTTTCGATCAATGCAGAGAAAGCGATTGTTTCGAGTTGGGTTGCTCATGATAATTCTGTTTATGATATCTGCTGGACTAAGGTGACCCCCTTTTCTCTATTGACCTTTTTTTTTTTGGGTACATTTGTATTACATTGTGCTTTGGTTTTTGGTGATGTTATTTGTTTGAAAAGCTATGAAGACTAAAAGAGTTCATATGATGCATTTGTTCATTGCAGGATGACACCAGTGTTCTGACAGCTTCAGCAGACCATACGGTAAGTTACTAAAACTTGCAATACATTATTAGCAATGTAGCAGTATTTTGGTGTGGTAGAGCAGGGAATTAGCTTACTAGGTGTATTTTGGGAACGTTTAAGTCAATGCATTCACGGCCTGTTTGGTAAATGGCGGTAATGGGAATGAGTTTTAAGTCAATCCAGTCTTTCTTCTCTGTCCTTTATCACAGCCTACTTGGCGCATTCATGGTTCTTCAACGTATTCAGCTTGCTATAATGAGCCAATACACTGATTTATTGTCAAACATCAGTCATTGGTGCTTGTCTGTATATAATTACTTAATAACTAAATCTCCCAGACTCTTGGCTTGTTTGCACGGACTGTTCAAATGATCTAGCCATTGGTTAACGAAATGATTGTTTGCACAAGTGCACTGTTGCGCTTAACCAAGAAAGAGAAGACTGTTCTGATTGAAAGTTTGTTCATGGGTTTTGTCCTTTTTCTTGCCAGATCAAGTTATGGGATGTTGAGCAAAAGAAATGTTATGGAATGTTAAGAGGCCATGTAGGAAGTGTTAAATCTGTCTCTTGCCACCCTACAAATTCTGGTAAGGATATAGGTTTTTATGATCCTTCTGCCTCAACTGTTAGTATGTGTTTAAGAGGTGTACAATATTTGATATTTCTGTGTTGGTTTCTTTACAACCCGACAGATTTTGTTGTATCTGGCTCAAGAGATGGGTCCTTTGCGCTATGGGACTTGAGGTGTAACCCTGGCCAAGGGAGAGACTGGATAATGTAAGTGAATGACACATATTTTGAATCATAATATCTGAATCAAAAGATGTTATCTGATAGGTTGTTTACTTGCTTTGTTAAAGGTCTACTGAACAGGTTAATGGGGCTCATACCTCTGCTAAACGTAAGCGGTTCATAAAAGGAAAGGTAAGTATATATTTAGCAATAATAACGATTAGAAAAATCCTTACTATTGTATTAGTATTATTGACATTTAATGCTTTCAGGCAGCTTCAATGACTGTAACATCAGTACTTTATCTCAAAGACGAAGTCTCAATTGCCACAGCAGGGGCAGTAGACAGGTACTACAGATGTCACTCACAATCAGATCTATGCCAATACTCTTAACAGTCTATTTATATAAGTTTGTGTTTGACATTGTCATTTGTTCGAATTTAGTGTTGTAAAGATTTGGGACACAAGAAATCTTCGAGTTCCAGCTGCTCAAGCAAGTCCACTTCATGACTCCATGACAGACACGGTTAGTATTAACATTGTGCCTTCTTTCAATCACACAAGTACATTGTGATCACTCTTATCAGCAAGAAAGAATATTTATCTTATTCTGCTTCATCCAGTCCTTTGTTTTCTATGAGTCGTTTGGTATCTTTTCAGAACGGGAGACAACATGGAATAACCAGCCTATCCCAAGATCTTAACGGAGTGCTGCTTTCTGCATCTTGTACAGATAATAGGTACCTTTAAGACAATTAAGCATAATGTCATATTATGCTCTTGATTTTCCTTTAGATCTGATTATTGTATTTCTTTGTCAGAATATATTTGTATAATGTTCTCCAACCAGAAAAAGGTCCTATTAGCTCCTTCACAGGCTGCCAAATCGGATCATTTTTTATAAAGGTAAAACAACCGGTCTTTGCATATTCAAATACATGAAACCGTATGTATAAATGGTTTGATCGTTCTCTAATTGGTTATGGTTTTGTATGGTTGTAGTCAACAATCAGTCCAGATGCATCTCACATACTGAGTGGATCTGGAGATGGAAATGCCTACATTTGGCAGGTTTGAATTCACCTTTCATTCTAACAAACTAGTGATTCACTGATTTGTCATATAGCCTTTTTGGTAAATTACTTAGCTCAATTAAAATTTGTTACAACCAGGTAGACGATCCTCATCAAGATCCCATTTCATTGACAAGCCATGAAAAAGAAGTCACTGCAGTCGATTGGTATGTTTCTAACATATACATAGTAGTCAATGCCACTATCAGTTCTATCACACTATTTTTTAGCAACAAACAGAAGTTCATCCAAGCATTCAATTGTATGCCACAGGTGCCTACAAGAACCAGGGAAGATTGCCACGGCTTCAGATGACTTCACAGTAAGCTATAACATTACACTTCAAAAGTAGTTTACAGTATTTGTGCCTCTACTTCACAATATTAATTATCCCCTTGCTTCCCAGGTTCGCTTTTGGAATGTACAAAATAGAAATTATCTATCACCAAGAACAACTGCTGTTCGGAGGAGAGTAATGGCAGTGTCTAAAACTGACTGCCATGAGCCTTCTCTGCAGAAGGAAACCCTGTGTAGTTCAAGTCACAAAGAAGAAGTGATACAAGATCAAAGCATAGTTGAGTTGTTGAAGACGCCAGAAACCATACCCAACAAGGTTCTTAGAGATAGATTACTTCCAGGAGTTAACTTGAATGAAGCCTTTGATAAAACTCCTGAATCTGCATCTAGGAGCCCTTCTTCTGTTTTAAGTCCTCCATCTTCCTTGAAAAAAAGAACAATCCGGGATTACTTTGTTGTGTGTTAAGCATCTGTTTGTAGAAATGTACAGGTCTTTATTCATAAATTTGATATACTCCTGTTGGTTCGTACACCATTGATAGGCGTGTTGCACACCTAATATAAATAATACCTAACTAGACCACTACTATGTAGATAGGCAATTAAGGATCAAATCCCAAGAAACTATGGTTTAACTAATTAAATAGACTCAAATAAATACTAAGCAAGTAACCAAAACAATAGTGTGAATTAATAACTAAGGGACTAATTAAAACGATTAATTCTAAATAATATATAAAGCAAATGCTAAAAGCATCCAAGATCAAGCATCACCATGAATACAATTGACGCAATAGTTGTTCTATCCCTAACATATAATTCAATTGATTAACGAGGAAAAGTAATCCCTAAATGGTACCAATGGTCTCTCCCGAGTTATCAATGGCTTTCAAATCACAATCAAGCCTATTTCCGTGGAATCATGTAAATTAAAGACTTTGAGCACATTACTTTAACTACCTAATCATCCATTCAACTACTCCCGTGATGAATTTCAAACCCTTAATTGATTTATTCAAACCCGTGAAAACCCAACTTCCGTTGCGATAAAACAATGGATTAATAACAATACTAATTATCCCTAATCTAGTATTGGCATGAGCACAATCAATTAATCATATCAATTGCAATTATCTGTAGAGAATTTAAAGAATTAAATCATGCATTAAGCATATTCAGGTTCCGCTAGATCTTGGAATTAAAAAGCTACTCACACATAGTCATAAAATCAAGAATGATATTCAATAAAGAAAACATAATTAACAATAATAAAATAAGAGAATTGAGAGAAGAAATCAATACTTAGAATTAATTATGAAATATTGAATCTTGAAAGTAAAACCCTAGAATATATTGTAGAAGAACGTAATACCAAAAGCTCTAAATTAATGTAAGTCAGTCATCATAAAAAGACTATCTAAAACCTATTTATATCCTAGCATAAAACTAGGCATTTCTATCTTAATAGGACTCGTATACGCTGCCAAAACAAGCTGCCACAGGTGGGTTGTGGCACGGAGAAAACCGCCACAACCAGGCTGTGGAGTAGCCTGGTCTTCAACTCTCCTTTGCTCCAATAATAAACGGCCACAACCTAGGACACACGCCACAACCAAGTTGTGGAGTAAATTGCTATGACGCTCCTTAGATGCTAGAAACACTCCATATGAAGAAATATCTCGCGATCAAAACAACTTCCAAGCAAATCGAGTCTTATTCCTACAAAAACAAAACAAACAAACCGAGAAAAGCAATATCGAAATAGGAAGAATAATAGCTCTAAAAGATTAGAAGAATAAAGAAAACACAATAAAACATGACCAAATATCACATATAAATCGTCTATAATATCGTGTTATCAACCATCCATGTACCATCAGCTGTTCCTCCCCTTGTAACACAATTTTTGTAGTAAAAGCTTGATGGTACTGTACTTGGATGATCTTCATTCTCAAGGAAAAATGATACAAGTGTAGCCTTTTCTTTTACATATTATGTAAAACCAGAATATTCCAATAAAATTTAGAGCTAAAAGATCTTTAATTGAGGAGTTGCAATAGCTTAGTTCATAAGAGCACCTTAGTCTCTGCAAGGTTGTTGGATTCCCTGATCACTCATCTCTACTGACTACCCTGATATAGGGTTCCTGAAAAGGCCATTTTCAATCTTTCATGTAATAGAGTATTCCTCACACGTTAAAATAAAAATTGAGGCGTAATATATATATCTAGAGAAAGGAGAGTCGAAGATATAACAAACTTGTGTATTGAGATATTACAAACTTGAGATGTTATTTTTGTTAAAATTACAATACAATTTTACACATACATTATTCTCAGTAGTTGCAAAATAAGCTTAATATATCTACAATTTGAATTGTAATTGAATAATTGATGCTACTCTGTAGCTAGTATCACTATACAAATTAGATTTACAAGTTACACAGTTCTAATGACTTAAGAGTATGTTTGGATAAAGAAAGGGGAAGGAAAAGAAGGGGAGGGAGGAGAAGAGGAGGGGAGAGAAAGGGAGGGGAGGGAAGAATGGTGAGTTTTCCTTCCAAATCTCTCCATTGTTAGAGGGATCAATTTCCTACAATTTAATCCCTCAATTTCTCTCCCCTCCAATTCCCTTCCTTCCTCATTTGTTATCCAAATGAAAGATACCCCATCTCTCCATAACTTAAAGAACTATAACTCTTAGTGGAATACAATAGCCTCGTGGCTAAAAGAAGGTGTGTTGCGATCTTAACTGTTTGATGACATGATGTAAAGCTCTTGACTAGTAATGTAGTAACATCCGATGGCATCTCCTGCTTCAATGATAAATTGCTCTTTAAATGTTCCCATTTGTTTGCTTGATATATCAATGTCGAGATCTCTAAAATTTGGCAAGCCCTCTACTTGCATACCATCACCACATATAATAAACTGGTTTCCAACAATCAAAGATCCGGATACACGAATTGCAACTCCACCTCTACCATGAGCACGACACTGCAGTTTCTCTACAACGTGGATGAGCTTCTCAGGAGGCCATTTGCCTGCTAGGGTTCTCCGTACATCTGACAATTTTGTGAAGATATCATTTGATCCTACATATTGAGCCCCAGAAAAACTGGCAAAATGAAAAGAACTGTTATATCTACTATGCATTTGAGCATGAGATAGCTTTCTTCTCTCTTCTTAAATTGTTTTCATTTATTTTATGTACTAAACTAAATAAAGAAAGTGAATACACAAACCTGAAAACAGATTCTTCGCTGTAGAGCGACTTCACATGTTGCCACTCTTCATCATCAGGTCCATCAAAGAGCAAGTAATAGTGGATACCAAGCATCTGCATAAACCAAATTCATGAGCTATAAGTTAACTATATGTTCTCAGCTCAAGTTGCATCAGGCTGTCAGCTCTCAAGCTTCAATAGCAATTCATGCATTTGCAAATTCTAATGCAGACAGTGGATGCCACTAACTTGGTTAGTTAAGCTGTTCAAGTCTTGGGGGAGTGGTACCCAAGAGGCCAAGACCTGAGGTCAAATCCATCAACATCATTGCCCTTGCGCTCTCTCTACACCCAAAAAACATTCTAATGCAGACACCACAGGTGAATAAACGATAATAGTTCAGAATTTTAATATTTTTTTATTGAAAGTTTACGTTTTAAAACTAAAATCTCATAACTAGCTAGATTGGTTTGAAGACTTAGAACTAGTATAGGGTATAAAGAAACAATACTAACCCTAGAGACTAATCATAACTTCCAAAGTGACCATTCAGCAGCAGTTCCTAGAGTATATAAACATACGAAAGAAAAGTTCATGCTTTTCATGTATTTAAACCATATTTCAAACCATCCAATATATTATTACTTTAAAAGGTAAACAAAGGTACATAAGAATGAGAAGCTTACGTCAGCCAAATCCTTCAACTTCTGCACAGGATCGAAAACCCTTTGAACAAAAGCTGCTAAGTCAACTTGAGAATCCTTGTACTTTGTAATAAATGGATGTGAAAGAAGCTACACAAAAGCAAAATATAAATTTCATATCATAGATCCTTTACTCAATCCTGAAATAGCACCCAGAGAAATTACACTGATAAACTCAGATGCCTATAAGTCACAGGTAGTCTCAACATTCAAGTAACAAGCCAAGGCCAGGGTAGCTCACAAGTCCAAGGCTCACAACAGAGACATGCTTGTCCCTGCAGGCACTTCCTTATAAAAAGGTTTAATAAAAATTATAGGCCAGCTAGGAATGAGCACCAAGTGTGCAAAACGCTATTTGGGCATATTAGAAGGACCAATAAGATGATCCAACCAAAATTTGATACTCGGGATATTTATCAATTTATGTATGGAAAATGAAATATACAATCACACATTCACACCCCATGCGGTAGAATTGTAGGAAGGCCATTTCTAGAGTACCTACACTGAAAATTCCATGAAGCATTGTATATTTTTGGGACCTTTCTAGAATGGACTCTATAGAGGGCTTTGTCACTTGAACACTTTATATAAGCATGGTCAACAAGACAAAGTTAGGGTCTTAGGGAGCTCATTTTGTAATGAGAAATTAAATGCAGATCAATACAAGATCACAGAAAAAGCTCTTTTCCTCCACTAGCAAACTATCCTAGTCCCAACAATTTTATTTTTTTTTTGACAAATAGTCCCACAATTATAATTGTCCCGGCGAGTCAAGTTCCAACCAAAAGTCACCAACAAGCATAAGCGTGTGTAAGTCTCAAGTGTCATACAAAGGGAAAATTGGCACATCGGCACATAATATGTGATATAAAGGCCTAATTTTATTGCAAGCATCACACAAGTGACATATAACTCACTTGTTCCGCTGTGGGCCGTGTCTCAGGATCCTTTTGTAGACAAGCATCAATAAATGAGCAAAATTCTGACGAGAATTTTTCCTTGGATGGTGAGGGAGAAGGATCATCCAAGATCTGTACAAATGAAAGGGAATTAATATTGTTAAAAACAAGTGATCCCCTCCATTATAACAAGGATGGAGTTGACAAAGCCAAGGCAATAATGAACAACCTAAATTATAAAAAACAGTATAAATTGCTTCAAAAAGTATTCAAGTAGGAAACCAGAATACAATAATAATGATTAAAAATATTATACATAGAGGGAGAATAAACATAAGATTTAAAAGAAGAATAAAAATAACCTGTAGCATGAGATTAACGGGTCCATCGTTTGCAATATAAGGAAACTCTCCTGTACCACACTCAAAAAGTGCAAGACCAAGGCTCCAAATATCAGCTGGGTATGAATATGACTCATTACGAATTCTCTCTGGAGACATATATGTGACAGTTCCAATAAAGGTGGCACACTGAAACATAAATATTCATGAATCAAATAAGTGAAGCAATAATATCTTAAGTAAATTTATCTTATGTTGTAATAGGAACTAACCATTGCCATAGAATTTTCCAGTCCAGCACTTATACCAAAATCTGTTATCTTTGGCTCTCCCTTGAGGTCGATAAGCAAATTGGCTGGTTTAATGTCTCTATGCACCAAATGTCGAGCTCCGTGCAAGTAGCTTAGTCCCTTGAAGAAAAATACAAAATATAGGAATCTTCAGATAAATAGCACAAACCACATCACATCACCATAAACAACTTAGGTACAATTAAGTGAAAGAGGAATAAAGAACAAATTACCAATAGAAGCTTTCGGACAATAGATGAAAGAAGAGGTTCTGGTATAAACTTCTGAACTGTAATGATATCTGCAAGAGATCCGCCATTCATGTACTCCAAAGCAATACTAATTTGTCCAGAGTCGGGAATATAAAATGCCCCATAGAATTCTACTAGTCCCTCAGAACAAGGTGCTTCGCAGAGCGTCCTGATCTCAGTAAGGAGCTGTTGTCGTTTCTCCTGAGTGACACATATAGTATCTTTTTAATTTTACAAATCACACCAAAAAACTTCATAAAAATAAAGTTCAATCAAACGATCATTAGAATAACACCAAGAACAAAAGAGCAAGATATAAGTAAAACTTTAAAGTGTCACTTATCATCTAGTAATGAGCAGATAAATTCAGTACTGATGACAGGCCATAAGTAGAAAGAAAACCCACCTTCTCAAAAATGTTAATTTTCTTCAATGCAATAATTCTATGAGTGGGAATGTGTATAGCTCTCTGAACAATACTACTTGCACCACTGCCTATAGCTCCAAAAACCCTCATCTCACGGGATGCAATCCGATATGTCTTTTCACTAGGACTGCTTTCATCCACTGGAGATGAAGAGCATTTTTGCAATCCTAACTCATTAAAGTTGTAAACTCCATATGATCTGCTCAGCAAGTTAATGGTTCCACCATCTGAGAGCTGCAAAGAACACAATAGCATGTTAAAATAATGAAACATTCTATACATGACTGCCTTTTATTTTTTATTTTTTTGAAAGACACCTTCTTGTTAACTTTAGGGATAGGCAGTTTTACCATATCAGAATCACCACATTCAAGGGTGGTTTCAGACGAAAAACCTTTATCGGCATCAAATAACGGAGTAAGCTTCTTTTTCAGTGCCTCGAGCGCAGCCATATCTGAATTGACTTCAAAGATATACCAGATGCAAGGGAATAATAAAGTCTTCCTCAAAGCATCTACTTCAAAGTGCTCCCTTACAGTGTTACTCACTCACCTGTAATCAACCCAAAATATTAAGAAAAATGACAATAATTTGTACTGTTACAAACTTCAAATTCACCAGATTGAATAAGAACTTTGATCGAGTTGACCAAATATTGAATTATAGGTCAATGAATAATGAGAAATAAAGAACAGGTCACATTAGTTGTACTATAATAGAGAACCTATGCATGTATTTGGCATCCATTCGTATCCCTCTACACCCAACTTAAATACACAAGAAAATTTCCCTTCTTTCGTGAGCCACATTGGCACAAGATGCCTCACCAAGCGAGAAAACTTTCAATCCAATGGTATAAGTCCGCTATTTGCAACAACTTGAAGAGTGCAGGAACACCAATGATGGGGGGTATACCCGAGCCTGAAAAACTCGGGTCCTTTAATTATTCCATTCCACTTTCATATTACTAGCATACAATGTTCTTAACATTTCATTTATCAACTTATCTCTACATTAGTCAAGATATCATTGGATCCAACATATTGCATCTCAGAAAAACTTGCAAAAAAAAAAAAAACAAAAAAAAAATTGTTTATCTACAATACATTCAAATTTCAAACATGAAATAACTTTCTTCTTTATTTGTTTTCTTTTATTTTGTGTGGTAATCAGTAACACATTTGAAAAAAGTCACTTCAAAATTTCAAATTTCCAGAGTGGAAAAAATCATTGCAACTTAGCACTATTTACGAATTAGTCCAAACCCGAAACATCTAATACAAAAGCTAAAACAAATAAGCAAAACCACTAAATTATATACGTCAAGTCATCAACTAAGTAGCGCCAAAATTGTGCAGATATTTGGTGCAAATTAGATTCAAAATTAGGGTAAAATCAAACTGATAGTAAGAAGTAGCGGATTTTATGATTTAGCAAACATGAAACATATTAATTAGAGATTACAAAGATCAATAGCTAATTAAATTTAGGTTTTGAAACAAATTGGTAAAGAATATACCTTCTTTTGATTGATGAGTAGAATCCCGCAAAGTTGGAAAATTGGAAAGCGAAAGTAGCTTACTGCCTTTGGGCCGGTGAACGACGTCGGATTCCAGGGTGGAGGCAGCGGCAGCGAGGTGGTTGGGGCGGCGGCGATAAGAGGGAGTAATCGATCAGATTAAGACAGAAGTGCAGTTGATTTGGTGAAGGCGGTAAACTAGACAATTTAACACAATTTTACCAAAATTATTTATCAAAAAGAAGGTTTTTAAATGAGGTAAACCAAACCATATTTTATGTCCAATCATAAATCATAAAAGATAGTTAAAGAGTGAATAAAGACTTAAAGAAGCAAGCCAATGATATTTCATGCCCAATTGGCCTAAACTAAAATAGAATTTGTTATATATGCTCGAGTGTACAGACTCTCAAATTAAAACGGTTTTGTGTGGTTTGGTTTTGACTTTTTTTTTTTTTTTTTTTTATTTATTTTAATAGACTAATGTGATATTTTGGTGTGGTTTGGTTTGGTTTTGGGTTTTGCAATACTATTATCAATTTTTTTAAAAAAAATATTAAAATTATTTCATACAGAGCACTCTGTAGTTAAATTAGACAACTTAATGAATTGAAAAAAAAATTTGTATTGGCTAAAAATATCACATTAGTCTATGCATAAATTAGATTATATATTATCAAACTTTTATAAGAGCGCCTTCCCAAAATAAGGTTGGGAAGTAAGCTAATTCCCAAAATACAGCTTCTTTTTAGTTTTTTCCCAATATCGTCCACGTAAGCGTTTCTCCAAAAACCAATTTTTTTTTCTCCGATCCAGCAAAAACCGCTACATAAAGTAGCGGTTTATTAAGAACAAACCGCTACTTGAAGTGGTGGTTTCTTATTAGAAAATCGCTACTTCAAGTAGCGGTTTTTCCCAATAAACCGCTACTTCAAGTAGCGGTTTTTGGTTGGGATGTCTGAGCTCGATTACAAAGAAGGGAAAGAGGAAACTGATTTTTAAAAAAATATAAGTACTAGAAAACCGCTACTTGAAGTAGCGGTTTATTAAAAGGACACCGCTACCTGAAGTAGCGGTTTATATAAAGGAAAGCGGTTTCTAGTAAATCGGTTTCAAAATTAATTTCAACTAAACCGGTGACGTGGACTGTAGTTTGAGAATTGATAAAAGTTTGGCTGTATTTTGAGAATTAGCTTACTTCCCAACCTTATTTTGGGAAAGAGCTCCTTTTAAAATTACCTCTAATTTTTGAAAAAGGAATATAACAATAAATTAGAAATCACTCATAAAACGGTCTCAGGCGTAATCTTTTCACCTTATAAAAAATAAATTCAATCAAATTTATAAACTTTAAAAGTTTAGGTCTAATAAGGCGAAGTGAATTTGTAGTTTGGTTTCAAATTTTCAAGAAACCAAATCAAATCATAAAATTGCTGTATCAGATCATTTTGAATCAAACCGTAAATTAGATCAAAAGAACGATAGTCAAAGTTAGTAAACAAAATGTGAAAAAAGTCAAACATTTCAATTATTTAATTTAAGAACGGAACAACTATAAAAATACATTTCGGTCTGGACTTAGCCCCATTTACTTCACCTTTTAAAAAATAATATTCAGTATAAATAATTTCAATTATTTCACTAAAAATAACTTTACTTCAACAAAAATAATTTCAGTTTACCAAAAAAAATAATTTTACTTCAACAAAAATAAATAAGGTAAAGTGAACGAGTCTAGATATCACCGATCCTGGGATCGATTCTCATCTCGCTTATATGAAACAAAAAAAATCAACAAAACGCTACTCCTATCACCCATTCACCCCTTTCAAGTCTGTTCTTTTCTTTTACCCGTTGCCGTCTGGATCCTATTTACGTCTGCGCTGACTCGCCACACCTCGCCTCCTCTAACTCCTCCATTGAAGTGCACTTTATACTCCATTGAAGCGGCTTGTGAGCTTTCTCTCTTCTCTTGAAGCTGCCTCTGAGGTAAAATATCGAATATCAATCTCAAAATCTAGTGTTAATCGTTGATTCAATTGTCAGTTATCTTTATTGAACTATAATCTCAGTTACTGAAGTTATGAAAGATATAATGAGCGATTTTGTTGCTACAATTTTGCTATTCTTATACTAAGCAAGAAAACATTGCATAGAAGGGAATACAAAGAGAAGATCATGGTTATGAGTACCTGAGATAAAATCTTGTATTAAGGTTTCAATTTTTGCTGTTGTTATACTATATTAAGTGAGAAGAAATTAACGTAATTTTTCGAGTCTACTTAGATAAATGAGTCAAATTTTGTTATTTGCTAATGTGTTGCTGGCTGACTTTTGATTATGTAACCCTTTAATTGTTAGAATCAAACTATTGAAAAAAAATGGAATTTTATCTGTCCCTCTTGCCCTCGATCAGGGACGGGGTTGATGGGGATATTTGATATGGGTCGATGGAGATATTTGAATTGGATATTCTTATCGTGATGTTGAGCCGTTGAGGTATTTGAGGGAGCAAAGGTGTATCTTTTTCTATTTGGGTGTTTACATTAAGTAAAAACTAGTAATTGAATTTTATGTTGGGAGGTGTTTTAGTGTATCGATTTTCCAGTGAAGAAAGTGTAATGAATTTATCCTCACATTGTATGGTGTATCAAGTGTAAGTCTTTGTATAAAAGGGCTGTGATGGGTTTTAGAGTGAAATACAGGTTGCAATGCGTCCTAAGACTTTTAATTTAACAGGTGTATATAGTTTTATGTCTAATGAGTTTTGATTTGATTGGTGTTTTTATCTTTACAAGTTCATGGGTGTTTTTAGGTGTAACGGGCTTTACCTCGTTGGGTGTGTTGAGGTTCGATTCATAGTGTAATGAGTTTGATTCCTTTCATACTAAGAACTTATAATTATCAGATAAGAAAAAAGAGAATATGATTGTATAAAGTAGTTATTCATAGCGAAATGCTAGTATGTAGAAGATGAAGAAATTGGTTGTAATTCAATTTTTCAATTGAACTACATAACTGAACATTGTATTGTATGATATATTTATTTGATATTGAAATTGCATCCTCATTCCAAATTATAAGTACTTTCCCTACTTTTGATTTTAATTGCACTGTTTCTTTGCTCTATATATATATTTTTTTTGACACTAAATCTTACATTGTTGCTGCATTAGATCAAATTTATAGATATCTGTTTGCCTGATTTTTAGATTTGACCTGATCTCTGTCTCCATCTAGTTTGAATATCTCTTAATTTTTTTGTTTATGTATTCCTGTATTAGATGTCTGGGCCAGGTTTGGACTGTTTCGTGGACCTAAACTTGCACTCTCAATAAGACTCGTAAGCCAGACTGTGCAAACTTTCCTTCGACTATTACTCTGGAAAATTTAATTCCCTGGATAAATCATTTCAAGACATGGCATTAATTAAGCATAAGAACTGGTGTAAAATCTTGAGTGGAATGTTGATAGCTAATGTAGAGATTAATGAGATGGGAAGAAGATGGTATGCTAATAATACAAAGATTGACTGGAATAAGCTGAGGCCAATGATAAAGCAGAGGATAGAAAACAGGTCTAGAGGATATCCAATCCGATCCATGATTCCTATTGCAGAAGAAATTCTTCAAGCTCGATCTGACGTCATCCGCGGTGTCTCTGCACTCCTCAAGGTGTTGCCAGTACTAGCCTGCAAGTAGGTTTCTTTATTTATTTACTAATTATTTATTAACATATTGATTTATTTGCGCGTAGTTGTGTTGCATTTAATTCCTTGTTGATATTTAAATACAAAAAGTTGAAGAATGACACTTGTTGGGTTTCTGTTTCAACATTTATTCATATGTGTTAAGCCTGTTAAAACTTAAAGTGATCCCATTAGTTTAATTATCATTGGCAGATAGTGATTCGGATGATTCTCTCATTTGTTTGTTGTGTATTCTTAAAATCTTGAAGCTTATGTATCTTTGGCAATCCCTTTCTGTTGAGTTAAGAGAATTAAGTCAAACTTACTTTCTTGAAATAATTATATAGGAACATAAATATATGGGTGTATAACAGGGGATGCCAATAATTCATCCAGCATTGTCCAAAAGTGGTTCAGAAAATTTCTCATTTGTTTGCTGTGTATTCGTGAAGTCTTGCAGCTTATAAAACACTGTCCTTTTTGATGAGTTATGAGATTCAAGTAAAATATTCTCTCTTGAACACTGTTTTCAAATACTTTTTTTTGGTACAATCTACTTCAGGTTTTGTAGTTACATCATCTTTTCTACTTTTGATTGGTGCAACTTCTTTCAGGTACTGTCCGGAAGTACATGTTGGTGAGACAGGTCACCTTATTCGTTCGTGCCATGGCCACAGACGATTGAACAAGAATCAGGCTCATCAATGGATCAGGGCAAGTTTAAATGATATACTTGTCCCTGTGGAGACATTCCATCTCGATAACATGGTCCAAGATGTGATCAAGCACCAGCAAAGATTTGATTTTGATCGTGTTCCTGCTGTTGTTGAACTGTGCTGTCAGGCAGGAGCTATTTCCCATGATTTGGATATTCAATCTTTGAACTGTTTGTCTGACCCTACTGTAGATCTTGCTTTGAGCGGACCTGATTCCTTGTCTGCAGATCAACTGAGAGCCATAGGAAATCGAACATTAAGCGCATGGGAACTTCTTAGACATGGTGTGCAAAAGCTCTTGTTGGTCTATTCAGCTAAGGTCTGTAAATACTGTTCAGAAGTTCATGTGGGGCCATCAGGCCATAAGGCCCGACTTTGTGGAGTATTCAAGTATCAGAATTGGCGAGGTAATCATTTCTGGGAAAAGGCAGGTGTAGATGATTTGGTACCACCTAAAATGGTGTGGTTTCGTCGGCCTCAAGACCCTCCAGCACTTTTGCATGAAGACCGCAATTATTATGGACACGCACCTGCTGTAATAGATCTCTGCATGAAGGCTGGTGCTGTGCCACCCCCCAAGTATTTGTGTATGATGAAAGCTCAAGGTTTAAAAGGGCCGCCTCCATATAGGTCTTCTGGCTAAATGCACATCTTTGACTGCTCTTGGCTTTGCATTCACTTGCCATTGTCTATGGTTTTTGAGCTCAAGCAATTTCTGTTTAAGCACAACCTTACATCCCCAAAGAAGCTTTTGGATGACAGTCTGGTACGTCCTTGTGACCAAATTCATTGTAAATAGTATTTTGTTTAAGATATTTAGATTTAGTTGATTTTATCATTTGTATGCTTGTTGAAATGAATGGAATGGCAAACCCCACCAAAGTTTGGATCTAAGTGGCGGAAAGAGGGGGGGGGGGGTTGTTATTTTATCCAGATTAGCTGAATTTTTGAGCTGATCAGTTCTGGCCCAGGATATAGTTCAGGTTTTGGCTAAAATTTTCGATTTTGACTTGTGGGTTGGACTAATGTGCGTTAGTTTCTAGTCCAGTTAGTCTATTCTGGTCCAAAAAATGTGGCCCCTCTTGATTTTTAGGCTGAAATTTGCCTGGGTTTTGTTTCCATAGCCGATTTGGTCTTCTGATAGATGAATTATGACGGGTAAGTCAAATAAAAAGATCTTTTACCACTTGATATGTGGCAGATTAGATTTACTTCTTCGTGGCTCCACCCAAAAGATGAATATCAGCAAGCTTCCATCAGCTTTCTTAACACTTAATCTCTGTCTTGATATGAGGGGAGAAATTATGTGAAATATGTAAATTCCACCTCCAAGGTAAATCCTAGGATTTTGGTGATATTTTTTTGAAGTTAATAATTTATAAGTCGGATTATTAATTTTGTAAGATAATGCAGGTATCTAGAAAATTAATACCTTGTGAGTCTGTCATCAGTTCACCACAATGACACAAAAGTATAAGGAGTGTAAATAATGAGAGAGATTATTGTGCTAATATGTTATAATTTGGGTAAAAACCAAGGCATTTAAATAGTAGGGATTTCCGTAATCCGGAGCTGATTTCCACTGGCGATTGCACTCCCCCTCTTTAAAATATAGTGTAGAAATTAATTTAAGGTGTGCGAAGAATTTCCCGTTTGATTGTAACTAAAGTGTATTCTGATCTTGGACTGATGCATGTCCAATTGTCCACCAAAATCATGTTCAAGATTGATGACTAGTGATGTGATTCAATTTTTTTTTATGAAATCTTGGAATCCCATTATGTAATTTTCTTGCTCTACTAGTCTACTTTGTTTGCTTTTACAGTTTTGATTGTCTTAGAAATAACACCCCCAACTTGTGAACCTGGGCTAAAGTAACTCAATGCGAAGATTTCTGATTTTCCTATCAATTACCCTGTGTGTAACTGGAGATTCTGAATTACTTGCTTTATCTGCATGTTTTGGACATGTAATTTGACCTGCATAGGAATTTTGGTCAATAGTGTTTTCATCTCTTAGGCATGTTACAACGATTCTCTTGGTTAATGCCCTAAAATCCTGAAATGCACCGGGTTTGACATTACTTTTTTGGCCTCTCTGTTCCCCCTTTTCCTCATCAATTAAGGGATTGCTTTGGCTTCCAAAGGATACTGGTTTTCAGATCTTGACAGGGATTTTTTTTTTTATTTTTTTTATTTTTTTTATTTTTTTTTATATATATTAAAGAATTGAAGCGAGTAGTGATCTTGTTAGGCCAAATTTCATCCTTTCGAAACTTGGTAGTTGGAATTTGGTGGCAGTAACTAACTGTTATGTCACCAATTCTTCCTTGTGAAATGCAGCGACCATGAGAATCACCTTGTCAAATTCTGTAAATTTTAGAAGTTGCTATTAAGGAATTATAGGGTTTCAGTTTTGATGTATTGTGGGCATATATACCTTGGAAAGTAAGGAGGAATTTTGGAAATGTTTGAGGTGATGTATATACTTTTGTACTTATGTGAGGAACTCTTTATTTATTCTCGAAAAGAGAAATTTGATCTATTTTTAGGGCGCTTCTATTTTAAAGCTGCCCTAGTAATTTAATCAGGTAGCCACATAATGTATGTAGTTATGTCCAGAATATAGAAAATGCCATTGAGATTTTGTCCGATTTTAGATTTATCATTGCTCAGATTTTATCATTCATAACTTCGTATACCTAATACCTCACTGATGATTTTGATAGTTTACCCTCTGACTTTGCATCTATCATTGTCTGATAATGAGTTTCAGGTGCAGTGGTGCCAAGTGTATATTACTCCCCGGTCTATAAATCGCAACTATTCAAACCTCTGACTTTGCTCATGCAAGCCTCAAGAGATTGTCAAGTGAAGAGGCTCCTTCATGAATTACTCGTGCACCTATTCAAACCTCTTAACAGCTTCTAAATGGTTGATAGTTGGATACTTGTCGGTTGCCATTGTGGATTTGTGCATTGTATTTAGTTATGCTAACTATTCTTTAAAAGAATAAGTTGTGGAGACAAAAGTACAACTTGTAGTTTTATTGACAGATATCTCATCATCATTTTAACAGGACAGCAAATTGTTTACTTTGATTACCAAATTTGGTTTACCAATACCACCTACCATATTGGGTACAGGACTTTGTTGATATTGTTACAAGCAGAAATTCATCACAAGCAAGTATTCAAATGTGTCGATTACTCTTACTGTCATTTGAATACAAAATTGCGGTGAAAGGTTTGGTGCTGTATTGTAGAATTATGATAAACTTTGGCTTGATTTTCATTAGCACTCAAGATGATAATTTATAATACAAAACGATCAAGTTCCCTTCCCTATATCAAACTCTAGGAAACTAGATAAAGATATCAAAATATATCCTAAAACTAAGTATATTAACCAAATCTAAATATTATCTTAATATTCCCTAAATGTATCTTAATATGTATGGAGCCTATGAAACTGACCAAACTTGCACGATGTGGCTGCGTTCACCAAAGCCTAATGTCGTAAATATAATTTTCTTCTTCAACAATTGGTAACTTACCCTTCAAACTATGCATTTTGGCAATCTCATACAAACCATATTGAGTACATGCTACCAATTCATATCTTACCCAAGTATTTCCATATTTGCCATGCTATAAAGAACATTGAGTATAGAGATATGGAGTAAACGGATACTACACTTTGTAAAAATGTGCAAGTAGTAGTTTGTCAAAAAAAAAAAAAAAAAAAAAAAAGAATTTGTTCAATAAATAAACTAAAATAATTAGAATAGTAACACTTGAAAAAAGCACAATTAAGACAAGTGTTACACTTGAAAAAAAGCTCAATTAAGACAAGTGTAAATTTGAAAAACTGGAAGGAGTAACAAATTTGGCATAATGCATTTCCAAATACTCCCTCAAAATTTTAACTTGCGACACTCTCTCTGTTTGGATAAATGTCTTATTATTCGCAACAATACTTTGGCTATGGTCAGATTGTATAATATGAGCTGATAGATTTGATCAAACTTTAATTTTATTTGTACATTATTTATAAGATAAAATGTTGTTAAATGAGATGTTATTAAATTTGTATGTTGTATTAAAATAAACTTTCCAAATATAAAACTTTCTAAAATATTTAAACCATGAAATAAACTCAATTTTAAAGATAAAATTTAATTTGATCCGATAATTTTTAAAAATAAGCTAATAATTTATCAACTTTTTTTTGAATAGAGTAGGATCTTAAATAAGTTGAACTATTTGGTTAGGTTTGAGTGATAAAAAACCTTAACTCCATATTAGTCACGGGGTACTTAGCTACCTAAACACTACCTCTATTGTTAACCGCTACTAAAATCGCTAGTTTGTCAAACACTCTCAAATTTTTTCTAGTAGTGTTTTGACTTGTCAAAACATGCTAATGGCTACCTAAAACGCTATCACCAAACAAGGCCATAGAACCGGTAGGAGGTTTGTTATTTTTATCATTAACTTTTAAGGCAAAACCACTATGTTTTACCCAAATCTACTATCAACAAAACGCTACTCCTATTTCCTTAAAAAATAAAATAAAATAAAATAAAATAAAATAAAAACGAAGAAGAAGAAGCGCTACTCCTTTTTCCCTCTATATTGAATATGATTGATTACCTCTTTATGTTATTTTTTGAACTAATTTACAACTCCTTTTTACTGCTTCTCATAAACAGAAAACAAAAGTAAAAATCAAAATCAAAACGCAAAGCTGCTTGCTTGGGCTTCAACCACAGTTAAATAAAAACGCAAAGCTGCTTGACGAGGCAACCAGTCAACCACGCCGTCATCGTTCAGCCTTCAACCAAGCACAGTTAAATAAAAGGTATTTTTTACCCTTTTTTCTTAATTTTATTTCGTGATAAAATTAATTAAATTATTTTTAATGTTGTCAAAATCAGTATACTATTTTTTTTTGAGGAATCAAAATTAGTATAATAAAATCTTAAAAGATGAGTTTTAGTATGAAAATCATTACAATTATTTGTAGGATTGAAATTTAATTTTTTTTTTATTTAATTTTTTTATTTTGTATGATTGTATGAATTTTTTTATTTTTTTTTTCAGTAGTATGACATATATAATTGTATGATAATCTTAATTGATTGAACTTATTTGTGATTTTAAGTTGCAATGTATTCAAATTGCAATTTACCGGTTGAATAATCTTAATTGGTTAATAAAAGTGGTTTTGCCTTAAAAAAACATACAAGTAATAATAATACTTCGTATATAATAATAATAATAAAACAAACCTCTTACCAAGCTTACGTGGACACTGGACAGTAGTCTGGTGAATAAGTTTAATCCCAATGCAAAAATTTAATTAAGTTTTCAAATTAACTTATTTCCACAAATCCCACTTTTTTTTAAAGAAATCAGTTTAACCACTTCACTTAAATTCACTCTCTACTTTTTAGATCAATCATCCAAATCCCTAATTTCTATCGTTAATCTCTTCTTATATACCAAATTCTGCTCAAAAGTAAGCTATTGGAGTGCAAAATTTGGGGCAATTTCACTCAAACTGAAGATTTCTACGCCAATTTCTACCAAATTACGAGCAATTTCTTTATCAGTGTAGTCTAATGGCGGTCTTGGAACCCGCGGAGCAGGACACCATGCCTCCGCCGAAGAAGAAACAGCTTTCCGAAGATGATAAAAGGTTCAATTCAATTATTTCAGCTATTTTTTGTTTGTTTGCAATTTTTCAGATTTAATTGCTTTATTTTGTGAAGAATTTCTCATAAATTTTGTTTTGATTTTCAGAAGGAAGAAGAATCTTGTGCCTGGAGGATTGTTGAAGGCTGAATTGAGACCTGGTGGAGGAGAATCTACACCTTCTGATGGTGATCAGGTTTTTAGTTAGTAATTTTTCATAATTACATCATATTTTGATAATTGATTTTGTTGAAATAATTTGTATCACATGATTATTGTTTAGTAAATTATGTCTTATTACATTAAGAAAAAAATAAATAAATTTCTTATTATGATTTTGATGAAATAGTTTGTATTACATAATTAGGTAATCTACCATTGCACTGTGCGTACAATGGAAGGAGTTGGTGTTTACTCTACCAGAAAAGATTTTGGAGGTGCGTATAACCTTTCATTTTTCACTCGTCTTAACTCGAATATAATGTTGTTTTGGGGTGTATTTAGAGTCGCAAAGGGCAGTGATGTAGAGAATGTGGACGGGATACGGTATGAAGTCTTGAGTATTTCCCTCCGAGACACTAACTAATGTTGTTATATATATTGTTGAATCCTGTTGCTTGGACCAATCAATCATAATGGATGTCAGTGTTCTTCCTTATTTTGATCACTGAATATAGAAGCTGTAGTAATTAATAGTTACATTGTTGGTTGCTAAAATTATCTTTCACCTTATATCCGTATCTTCCACTAACGATGAAAGCATTGTACTTCAGTGACTAACAAGAGTAACACTGAAAGCATTGTACTTCAGTGATTCTCTTTAATGACTATTCCTTGTTGTGATCAAATGATCTTATTAATCTTTTTCTCGTCACTTATCACAGGAATGTTATGATTAGTGAAACTTCCTTTATTTTGTGCATGTAAGTCTCCAATCTTTGGTCAAATTGTCGTGAGGCAACTTATTAAAAATGAGCAACAATTTGTTTCTTCCTGTTAGCCTGCTATTGTGTCTGCCACTTTTCTGTTGCATCTCAGTGTTTCTTCTCCTTGACTCTACGAGGTTGAAAAATGCTATATTGACGAAGGAAGAAAAAAGAAAGTGCAAGAAAGATAAGACATCCTCTAAGTGAAACAAAGACTGGAAAAGGGTATCCTTGGAAATGGAAAGTGTTATATCCAAAGTCCCTTCGCCCAAAGTGGCTCCAAGAATGGCTCTTACTCCCCCGCAAATTAGAAAGAGCTTCTAGATACTAGAATATTCTAGATTCATCCAACTGCAACAAATATTGGCTAGTATAGTGTCATGTGCAGCAACCAGAAGTTGCTATCTAGATTTCTGTCTTTTCATTGGTCTCTTTTTATGCTTTTCTGAGATTATTTTCCTCTTTGTCATCATCTGTAGGAAAGGAATTTGTTGTTTGAGTCTCTATTCTCTAGTGATACTTCCTAAATGGCTATTTGGTTCTTGATAATTTTTGTGCGTTGAACTTTTGGTTGTGATTTTCTAAATCTCAACTAATTACAATGGATTTTGATTCGGTGCTGATATTATTCATCTTTAGTTCTTGCAGAATTTTCTATTAGCTATCATATATGGTCTTTGGTGACTTGATATTTGATGCTTTTTGAAAGTTAAATTTACACCTTGATGCCATATATATTATTATTATCTCTGCTCTTAGCAGGTACGGGAGCGCCTATAAGGCAAGTTTTGGGTAAAAGCAAGATGATACTGGGATTGCTTGAAGGAATACCTACAATGCAGAAGGGTGAAGTTTGCATGGTAATATTCTGTTAGTGCTACAGACCAATTGCATAGTAAGCTGTTTATACAATATCAACATAATATATAAACATATAATGTTCTAGCCAATATTAACAGCAATAGAGGAAAGTCCAATTTGTGGGTATTCTCATCTTTGGGAGGGGGTGTTGGGGAAAATAATACAGAAAAGCAAAGAAAGATGTGGTTTCAGATTGTAAGGACATATATGCCTGCTGCAAAGAGATGCGTTAGCTATAGGTGTTGAGGGTTCAGGATTTCTTCTTGCATCTTCCAAAATTGTGTGGATGTGTATCATTTGATCTTGTGAACTTTTCTTGTGATACTATATAGGTACTGTATATTGACAGTAAGCCAATGTCTCAAGTTGTTTTATATGTTAGACATGGGACATCCAAAGCGATAGGTCCTTTAATGACGCACCTTTGAGTTGGTTATTGGTGCTGAGTGCTGACTCGTAGATGATCTCTGCTTGCATCACAAAGTAATGAAAAATAATAATCTATATCTAAGGAAGATGCTGGCCTGCTGTTTCTGCTTCTGTATTGTGCATGCATTTTGATGATTTATAGGTTCTGAAATTCCTTCTTTGGGTTTATCATTCTGCTATTATGATTTGTATGCAGTTCAGGATGAAATCTGGGATGCATTATGGTGAGCCTGATTGCCCAGTTCCAGTCTCAGAGGGCTTCCCAAAGGATGTTGATCTCAACTTTGAGATTGAACTCATTGATTTTGGCAAAGCTAAGGTAAGATTTATTTTTCCCTAAATGTTGTATGATAACACTATAATGCCTACTTTGTGGTGACAAATTTTGGAAAGGAAATTACTGACAAACAATATTTATAATAAGACAAGAATGAGATTATTTACATTTTGTGAGGTAACATTGAAGATCATATAAATCATATTTTGTCCTTTTTGATTTCAAGTACCTTGTGCTGTTTAAGTGCCTATAAAATATTTAGGCATGAAGTTTAGCTTCTGTTGTATGAAAATTTCAGTTTTTTTAAAACATCAAACTTGTTTAATTTTCAGGTTATTTCTGAAGATCTTGGAGTTGTGAAAAAGGTATGAAAATGATCACAATCTTGTTTGGCATATAGATTCCATTTTTCTTATCATAGTGTAATGAACTGAAACTCTTGTCTGGCAAAGGTTTTTAGATTCTCTTCTATAGTGTAATAAACTGAAATTCTGGGCATCAATTAGAGGGAGATGAACTTGATTGATAATATGAGAATTACAGAAGATATAATTGATATTGAGCTTTTGAGAGTCTCTCTCTCAGGTACAATTTGAAACTAAAATGAACACTTGATAAAATTCTTCATCATTTATGTCTTCCTAATTTTCTCTGATTATAGATTAACTGATCTTCCTCTTCTTGTTGCTCAAGCTACTTCTAATCGAATTGTAAAGCAATTCCTAATTTGTCCATCCCCTATCCCCAATGCATTACACATAGCAAACATGTCGTAAAACTGCAGAATTCAATATTCTAGAGACGTGTTCTAGGAGAAAAAGAAAGCATGAAAAGGTTTCACAGTGCAGAATGGTTGTCTTATTTATTTTGGCTCATGATTTTGGATTGTTAATACAGTCTGCAATAGAATTACTTGTTCAGATTCTGGTTTCCTCTGATCCTTGTCTGGTCTGAGTGTTTTGATAGGTATACATATGTATAAATTATACCGGCAGGTAACCTGTGGTATATGTGATTGAGTGATGCTCTTCGATATAATAAGTGTCGAGAAGTTAAACCAGTTGACAGAGCCACATATCATTTTCTCTTCTTTTAGCATGATACATTGTCTAGCATTAGTAATAAGGTTATGTACTCGGCCATACCCAAAAAGATTAAAGATAATATATCACAAAATGAAGTTCATGTAGTACTAGCATAGTCTTGTTTCTTCCGGTGCATTTATACTTCCTTCTATATGTGTAGGTCATAAAAGACGGGCAAGGTTGGGAGTCGCCAAGGGCTCCTTATGAAGTAAAAGCTTGGTATATGATTCTTCCTGCGCCAACTGCCATATCTCTGTTTTCCTTTAGTTTCTTGGTTGGATCTAACTTAACCTGATGCTTGTTTGAAATATTATAAGTATTTTCTCTTACAACCCACTACAATGGGTCAGTTGGTTTATATCCACAACTAGAAAGAGCAAGGAAAGGATAGAGAGAGAAAATGCTAGGGCATGATTCTCGGCTAAGTTAGTTTCCTCTACAATTTGCAGTGGTTGTCTCTCGTCATTGCTTGATTGGTGAATTTCTAGAAGCTGCAAGGTGTTGGTTAGACTATGGCGGATGTGATAATTGGCAGTTAGGATGGTGTTTGATTGACTTGGTGTAAGGGAAACTATCTTATTGGCTTAGGAGCCTTGTACCTGGAAGTTTCATTTTTTGAAAGAAATGAAAATTTCTTACATTTGGGGATTGTGCCTTAGTGGTGAAGCATTAATCTAATTTTTTTTTTGTGAAAAAGGCTCCTTCTGAACATGTTAAAAAAAAAAGTTATTTTGTTTCCTCCGTTGAAGATTAAATTTGCTTAAACCAATAAATTTTCTTTTTGTGAACAATGAACTGTGAACATTGGCCTTAATTTCTTAATGTAATTTATGCTTCATTTCAGGATATCTGCAAAAACTGCAGATGGAAGGTTGATTTGGAGTCATGTTGAGGGAGAACCGTTTTTCTTTATATTTGGAAACTCAGAGGTTAGTTTGTTACACTTGGATTGGCTTGGCATGCCATTGGTTGAAGTTAACTTGAGGATCACCTCTCTTCCTGTTCTTCATGGAAATGATGCCTAAACTACTCTTTAAATCTATGTGGTGACAGTTGCCTAAAGGTCTTGAGATGGGAATTGGAACTATGACAAGGAGGGAGAAGGCCATGATCTATGTAACCAATCAATACTTGACTGCATGTGCAGTCCTTCCTCAAGTAAAAGGTCTGGAAGAAGTTCATTTTGAAGTGGAACTAGTTCACTTTGTCCAGGTTTGTTTCATCTTTCTAAAATAATCATGCATTCTTTCTTTCTTATATCATTATATGTGTTTATCAATTTCTTTTCTTTTTGATTGATAACAATGCCATTTTACTGAAAACTATGACTTTTCAGTAAGATGTAGTATGCTCTTTAAGTGTTGAGTAGTTTCTTGTCACCAAATTGCCTTAGTCAGTCATCATCTTAGTGAGTTACGTGGCCACTGCAACTTTCTGGTAGCAGATAACATGAAATTCATATGAGAGGCTTATGAATGTTTATATTTTATATATTACCCCGTATCATATTGACATCATGATTTCATTCTTCTATTCTATCTCTGCTTAGTTGTTCAGTTAGATGATTATAAATGCCCCATTTATATATTCTGATGTAGCTGTGAGCTATGTCATCCGTACTCTTGGCCAAACCTCAAGTACCAATGTTGAATTCTCGATACTTCAACATGTAGGACATTTGACAAATAATTTTGGACTAAACACGCCTAACACGGAAAATTTCATATAATAGTCTGACACTTGAACAGATACATGTGTCTGACACAAGTATCTAAATTCCACTAACATTGGTTGTGAGACCACACAAACACAAGTCTCAGCCACACTCGCACTCACACTCACACTCACACTCACAAGCTGGTATATCAGTAACATATACCATGTTTTCTGAGAATTTATTAGAACTTATTGTTCAATTTGAGTGATCTACTGAATGCTTTTATGATTAGATTAGGAGGTCATGGTAATGGAGTTTCTGTAATGTCAGGTCCGCGATGTGCTTGGAGATGGACGACTCATTAAACGACGGATCCGTGATGGAGAAGGTTCAAGTCTATTTTTTTTAATTTGTCATTTTTTTTTGTTTTTATTTTTTGGTGAGTGTGTGTATTCTGTGGTTTTGGATTCTGATATTATACATTTATTAGATAATACCAGATGATTTCTTGTGTATTGTGGTGTTTGTTTTTTTCATCAGTCCACATCTTTCACTGGCTCTGGATGATAATAGTGGAGGTGAAAAGATGTAGTCACATTGTGTACATATTATGATTATTCTATGCATGCATTCTAGCAGGCTGTTGTGGCTTGCAAATTGTACTCTCCATTCAGTTTGTATATACCTCCTCTTTTGCTGGAGTCTACGGATCTGCCTAGCTTTGCATTTCTCAGATTCTATATTGTAGTGTGCTGTGGCCAGTATGTACTTGTGGTGGCTTTGGCTTCTCTGAATCCTTTAGCAAACTCATTTCTCGATTCTGTTTACACTTTACAGTTATTTTTCTTTCTTTTCTTAGGTGAGTTCTGAATGACTAGTTGTACTGTAATTTTTTTACTCCAGTACCTCCAATGTGTTGCATTATTCAAAATTATTATTTTTCGCTGCTTTATAATTATGTTTCTGAATGAAATTGCATTTACTAGTTATATTATTTGAGCTATGACACTGAAATTTTCCTCCCAAAGATATCTGGTCTGGTTTAATGATATTACATACTGAAAAGAGAGGGGTATGACTTTTAATCTGTGATGGTTTATTTAGATCCTGTTTCTGATTAGGCCTTGCAATATTACATTTGGTGTATGTTTAAGCTTTTCTCATTCTTTCTGATTACTAGGGGAATTTCCCATGGACTGCCCACTTCAGGACAGTCAACTATGTGTCCATTACAAGGGCATGCTTCTGGATGACAAGAAGACAGTCTTCTATGATACAAGAATTGATAATGATGGTCAGCCACTAGAGTTCTGTTCTGGAGAAGGCCTGGTGAGTTGTTATCTTTATCGTGCACATTATGTACTGTAGATTGTATAAATAAAGAGGATAAAACGAAATGCATTAAAAATTATTTATTGTTCAATACAGTTGCTGTTATCAACAAGGAAAGACTCCCCTTCCCTTTGCATTGATATGAATTGGCCTATTTGTTAGTATTATGCTAGAAGAGTGCATATTTAGATGCCTTATTTTGTTCAAAATAAGCACCAAGCAATTCTTATCAACTTGACCATATTTTTTTTAATCTGCATCTTACCAATATTCGATGTGTTTATTCTAACCTGCCGTCAACTTTTATACTACCTCCGTTTCATTTTTTTTGCAACTTTGGGGTATTATTTGTGAGATATAAAATATTTCAAAGTTGCAAAAAATATGAAACGGAGGTAGTGTTTGAAAGTCACTTTGTCATCAAAATAATACTGTAATAAGAATAATTTTATCTCTTTGTTAACCCTCCTTGATTTCTGCCTATAAATCTAAACTACACCTGAATGTGGATGGAAGGAGTTAATTCTGTTTTATTACCTTTGAAGTGTTGGAGAAATGATGAGATCTTTCCTTGTCAATTGAATAATGTGTCATAGAAGCCTTGGCAGCAGAGTGCTGTGTAGCTGAAATCATATGATGGGAATACAATCGGCTTTGTTTTGGCTCTTAATAATAAAATCTATATATCGTGCACATTTGGTTGTCATTGCCCACTTGCTTGTCATTGTTGCCTTGTGGACCTATCATCTTCCAATTAGGTTTGGAATAGCCAATTTCTTACATGCATATTGCTCATCATTTAGTCAAATGGTTTGACTCTTTAAAGCGATCAATCATCATCTTTGCCTACTTTCACTAGGAGGGAGCTGCATACTTGCATACATACACATAATGTGAAATTGTGAATGCCTCATATTCTTCGCCTGTGTAGGTACCAGAAGGCTTTGAAATGTCTGTACGATTAATGTTACCTGGGGAACTAGCTCTTGTTACTTGCCCGCCTGATTATGCATATGACAAGTTTCCAAGGTTACTTTCTCGTCTTGTTTCTCTCAATCTCTTATTCAAACCAAAAAAAAAAAAAGGATCGAAGCAATATTTTTCATTGTTTATGAAATAAATTTTTCTCTTGCAATGATTTTTTTGTTTGAAAGTGCTGATTTACATCTCTCATTTTGCTTTTGGTTACTAGGCCAGCTAATGTTCCAGAAGGGGCATATGTGGAATGGGAAATTGAACTTCTTAATTTCGAGATGCCAAAGGTATACAAGTTTCCACTTTCTTTTAATTAACTTGAAATTTTATTGGAGTAGATGGGTAGTATTTACTAAGCACCAAATGAATTCTGAGTTGAGAACCGGACCATTTATTGTTCATTATTACCGTGTACGATTTCAAGGGAACGGGATGGTGTGAAGTTTAGCGTAGGAAAACTTGTATGGGAGGTCACCCTTTCATGTATATTGCATGTCATCTTGACACAATGCTCTCTCATCCTCGAAGCATAATAGATTCTTGGTTTAACTGTTAGATGCATGAGCATTAACATCAAGGAGTTTGTGTTATGAAGGATTAGCAAGGGTTTTAGTTTTTATTTTGTGCATGCACTGAGAGATCTTTTTGCTTTCTGATTAACATTACACCGGTCTTTCTTGACAGGACTGGACTGGTTTGGATTTCAGAGGTATTATGGCCGAGGCAGAGAATATTAGATCCACGGTATTGCACTATCATTGATCTACAGGATCAGTGTTTGCTTTGCCTCAGTTACTGATTCGTTTGTGATATCATGTTCTGTGTCATTATGGGCTGTCTAAAAGTGCTATTTGCTATTCAGACATTTTAATTATATTATTGTACTCTTTAGTGACCTTGGAAATTAATGCTTTTACTGTTAAGTACAGTAGGAAATTTTTGTGCTGCTTTTGTAGTTCTTGGTTGGTTAACTCTGCTTCAAAGATGTGAAAATTGAAACTTCCTCTGATTGTCCATTGTTAGGGTAACAGGCTTTTCAAGGAAGGAAAATATGGATTGGCAAAAGCTAAATATGAGAAGGTACATGTTTCCTTCTTTAACATGGTCACCTTTACTTGCATGATTTGAAACTTGCGAAAAATTCATGTAGTATAATTAAGTAGAGGATCTAAATCTTAATTATGTATATTGATCACTCTATATTTAAGCATTAAAAAAAATGAGGGAAAAGGCATTGCTTAGTAATTTGCTTTCAAAAAAAAAAAAAAAAAAAAAAAAAGCGTTGCTTATATTTTTGTCAGAAGTTAGATCTTTCAGTATCATTGTTAAATGCTTACTTGGCTTTTATATAAGTGTTTAAATTTGTGTGATTCTTACAATAATAGGACTAAGCCACCACAAATTTGTTACTAATATACCAGATCATTATCCTTACAGGTGCTTCGGGACTTTAATCATGTTAATCCCCAGGATGACGAAGAAGGGAAAGAGTTTCTGAATGCAAGAGTAGGTCCTAATATGGGTTTATTATCGTTTGTTTTTCTTTATTTTTTTTCTCCTTTTTAATTTTCTGTAATATTCACTCAGTATACTACTAACTTATTTGATTTGATGCGAAGAACATGTTACATTTAAATGTTGCTGCCTGCTATCTGAAAATGGGGGAGTGCAGAAAGTCCATTGAAACATGTGACAAGGTACGTTGTGGTGTAAAACTCCTTTTATACATGGAAGAATGGAAGAGTTGTTTATCATCTGCTTATCTTTCTTCCTATTGTGGATTTTGTTTTTAGATGGGTTTTTTTTTCACCAATTCTAGTTTGTTTGCTTAACAAATTTGATTGATTTGGCTTTAAATTGTACAGCATCAAGAAATACCTTATGTGATGTGTGTTGTCACCAATAGAGTATAGCTGTGAACTTTTGTGGATTGATATTAAGTTGGGATTGAAACCAATTACTTCTGTAGTTGATATTAAGTTGGGATTGAAACCATAACTCTACAACCTGAGTAGTCATAGATGAAGCTGTGCTATGTTTTAAAATTTAAATGCTGTATTCTAAAAAGTAAATACAGAAGAGTACTTAAAAAGTACATGGTTTATGCTCTGAATTCCATTGATGCATATTAGGATGTCAAATACACTGCAGGTATTAGATGCCAACCCTGTCCATGTCAAAGCTTTGTATCGCCGCGGAATGGCCTATATGGAACTTGGAGAATTTGAGGAGGCAAAAAATAATTTCGATAAGGTAATTTACTCGTCCAATGATGGCATAATAGCAAAGTATTTCGATAAGGTATTCTGTTAATGAGCTATTATGGCAATGTAATTGTGTCTTTCCAATGATTGCAGATGATGAAACTTGACAAATCATCTGAATCTGATGCTAAAGCAGCCTTACAAAAATTGAAGCAAAGGGAACAGGTATTTTTGTCACTAAGTTAATGAATTTTGGCCATACAGTTTGTACCAAATTCTTACGGCTATTTTTCACCTTTGATCAGGAAACTGCAAGAAAAGCTAAGCAGCAATTTAAAGGATTATTTGACAAAAGACCTGGTGAGATTGCAGAGGTCAGCACTGAAAGAGCAGAGCAAGTAACAGACGGAAATTCTTGTGAGAACAATAATGATAATGAAGATTCAAGTAAAGCAAAATCAGATGAAAAACATGTAGTAGCACCTAAAAGGAGCCTTGGGTTAATCATCAGCTTAAGCTTTATAGTGTTTCTAGTTTTTTTCGTATTGTTCCTCTTATACGGTGGAGAGCTGCTCGGAATTTCTTCTCTGCCAGATGCCATGCCACTACATGATATTGATGAACTGTAGATGACTTCAGGTTGAGCTTAGATAGATTTGTTGTGGCGTATAGGGACCCATTTGAAGAAAACTTATCATTGTCAATGTGAAAACTAGACACTGGAGCTAGAAGGGAAAAATTTTCGAGGGCACTCTCACGTATTGTATGTTTTGTTGTTATTACACATAGTTAGGATCAAGCACTGGCATATTGTTAGCCAAAAATTAGAAATTTCTCTTGGTGAGTTGTAGTGGACAAATGGTCCATTCACAGACATTTTGTATCAGTTGTTAACTATTGATAATACCAATATACCCTTGAAAGTGGATCATGTTGTCTACACTTCATGACTACCCTTGAAACTGAATCACTAAAAGAGCTTAGTAGTGCTGCCTTGTAACATTGAAGCTCGGACGCTTCAACGTAAGACTGTAAGAGTGATCTTGTCGTGTGTCTAATGTCTTATTGATTCAGAAATCCTTACAGTTATAGTGCCCTATGATTTAAGTTCGCGGACAAGCATCTTTGGCAAGATAGTAAACGTTTAGGTGTTTTCCTTTGTTGCTACGAGAATAGCTTTATGCCAATGAAATACACTTTTGTTCAAGGGAGAATAGTTTTATGCCACTGAAATACACATTTGGGACTCAATGTTCTCGTATTCAATAGTGGCTAAGGCAAGGAAGTACGACCAAATGATCTTATGCTAATGCTAGCGTCCTTATCATTCCTATTCTCATGATTCAAGAAAATGGTTAACCTATGCAGTGGCGGACCCAGGAATTTCCGACTGATGAGTCACAATCGATAACCAAATATGTAAAAAAAAAATTTGACAACATGACAAGCTTAGCTCTCTAATAATTGACAAGATTAAAATCTGTACAAGCATTAGGGTGTATTCACAATTTGACAGACATAATTGACTATATCATTAGGGTGGGTCGACTATATCATAAGCAATCGTCCGAATCGCCAATCAAATCAGCACATATGCAAAACCCCATATAAATCTACCAAAGTCAATGGTATATTGACAATTTGACAGACATAATTAACATCAATAAACACCCTAAATAAACACTGATTACAATTCACATGGTCAAAAAGGTTCAAATTTCATCAAAAACCCAACAACATTAACAAAAGGTTCAAAGTTTACCAAACAAACAACAACAAAATCAACCAAAGAAAATAATTTTTTTTTTTTTTTAAAAAAAAAAAACTTAGAAATTTTTTTTGGGCCCTGGTGAGTCATTTGACTCACCATGCACAAGGGCAGGTCCGCCAATGAACCTATGCGCAAAAATAAAGAGATTTATCATTTCTAGATATAGCAAAAATGAAATGAACACTCCGTACAAAATATACATAAAAACTTGTATTTTTTGCGTTTATCTTATCCTATTTGTCTTTTTTAATTCTTCATAACAATCAATTGCCCTAAAGTATCTTGCATTCATACATAAAGTCCAATTCAATAATTCTTTTTTTAATTTATTTTTGAGAGGGAGTCCAACTAAAAGATCCGAGTTCACATATATTACTCGGGTTATCCAAACTACTTGTAATAAATCAATTTAAAGATGAACACAAATGAAAGTGATGTTACTCCTACTTTTTTCCGCGTAGTGTGTGTATTTCCAACTCTCCAAATTCCCATTGAAACACGATATCATATTGCCACAAATGAGTATTGCCCCAACTACAAATTTCTTTTGTGCGAAGTATTTATAGGTCAACCTAAATAACACATAACTGTCATAGATACAAACAAACTATATTTTGACTTATTTCATTGAATATTGGAGATCATATGGTACAAAATTACGTCTAACAAGTTATTATAAGGAGCATGTAACAGGTAGTAATTATTGTTGATGTCATTTCGTCGTTGTATTTCATGTTAGATGTTTTTTTACTCTGTAGTTGTTGGCTTTTAGACAATAGTATAACTATCAGCTTAAATCAAATCAAACCAAATACGGAGTATCGATGTGTGGATGTTTAACGTTCAGCATAAGTAGTAGTAGGATTAGCTAAATAAAAAATAATACCAATCCCAAAGGCTTTTTAATTTCTAGTACTACGTATATTATTATACATTCGTACGTGTTAAAGCCTTCTTTTAGTTAATTATATTTTGACTGGATAAAAACATTAGAATTTGTCACAAAATTATTGCACGGCAAGTTTTTTCAATGTAGCTAAAGGCTTGAGTAAAATTACATACAATGATACAGATATGAACTGATCTGATGTAATGATAGAGTATATAAATTGATCATGTGAGAAAGCGTGATAGAGTATATAAATCGAACATGAGTTTCAACCATCAGTTTAACCTTTTGGTGGAGCAAGTCCACTAATACGTATCTACTTGCACTAGATTATGACTAATAGTGAAGGTTTGACGACACTCGAGGTTAAAAGGACTAAAAAATCGTAAGGATTGAAATTTGATCTGGTTTTCATTTAATCTGGGTTTCCATACCTAAAAAATTACATTAGTGACGTATGCATAACCAGGGGTCAAGGTAGTGGGTTATAAACCAACAAAAGGTAGGCTACTTTTTCGTAACACCATGAGTCAATATGCAGTTGGACAAAGTATTCCTCGATGAAAAAGTCTATGCACTTTTCCATTATTTTTCTCAACTGTACTACCAATATTTTACATTGTTTTTGTATGACAAAAACTTATAAAAATGTGATTTCATTAAATTTTTCTAGTTAACTTTAAGGATTTTATTACACCTAAGGCAGTCTTCGTGTATGTTAGGCTAGCTTCAAGGAATAAATCTAATGCCATTAGTTAACAAGTAAGATGAACAAGAAAATATTAAATGTTTAAACAACAAACTGTTCTTTTCTTGTAAGGTTTAAATTCATCATCATATTGTTACACAACTTGAAGACAAAAAAAATTGACCAGTTGGAGATTCTTGAAAGCAATTATGCTTTCGATTCTCCACAAGCCACTTGTGATTATGGTGTATATTTAAATCTAAAAATTTACATTCGATTTCAACCTTTAATTAATCAACGAGCTATTATAAGAAAATCAATATATGGCCTGGATGTGAGTTGTAAATACAAAAGAATAACACACGAGTGAAATGTATGATCAATCTATGTATAATATAATGATACATTTTACGTATGTATTGTTTGGCCAAATTGAATGATGGTTGAAGTACGATAACGAAGAATAAAATAGAGAGTTTGACTATTGTTCAAGCCAAATAAATACACTTCCTATTTATTTATTTTTGCTAGCTTATGTGTCGTAATCTTAAAATAATTTAAAAGAGTTGTAACTTGTCTATCCAACAAATGCCCTAATAATATAGTAGATAATTGATATAATTAGCAAGGACAACTATCATTCAAACATCAAAACATTAACTGTTAAGCAACATCTAAAACCATAGATTAATTATGTTCATATAATCACATCAATATGATTACAATTTTAAGTCGACCGTTGCAATTAGATGACAGTTTGTCAGCATTCAGCAAATTGATTCTACCTGTCTATTTATCAAGTACTTGTTGGACTTATGTTTTCCCATTTAAAAAAAAACACTCATAGCCCATGCAATAACTTCATAACGTACAACTATTTCTAACGTTTATTAAATTTTAATCTGTTGAAAATAATTTTTTTTTAGGTCCCTACATTAAATATTTGTCACCTTATATTTGTTCTAAATTCAATATGTGGGCCATGCATGACACAAGTGAAAAACAACATATAAAAAATTAGAGACTTTGGTATATATGGAAAATGACGTTGGTCCAAATTAATCTAATTAGTGTGAAACTAATTAAAGAAAGGGTAATTAATTTAAAAAAATTCGTCTAGTGGAGAATATGTGTATTCAATTTTTGTATTCTAATGTTTTTTCGGGTATCTATCTAAATATTATAATTATCATACGTAATTACGTAGATAGCTATCATTAGCAAGATATCAAATTGCATAGGTATGGATTTTAATTTCTATCAAAATAGTTGTAGTTTAATACTTCATGAAAGCAAGTCGGCACATAGGCTATGCAAGCTTTGTATCTTTGTTATTCTGTCATGTTAAAAAAAAAAAAAAAAAGTTGCTATTTTTTTATATAGCTTTTACATCATCACAAAAGTAATGTTTGACGAAATTAGTTGTAAGTTATTTTTTATACGTAGCAATTGCTATTTGCTACCCATTCAAATTTGCGGCTAAAATGTCAATAATTTTAGATATGATAAAGTAATTTCTGTAAACTATATTTACTATGAACCATTTTTACTTTGAAAACTCTTTTTTTTTTTTTTTTTAAAAGGATGGAATAAAACCTAATGATTATGTTCACGAAAACAGGTGAAAGTAGTTGTTTGTAAAACTCACTTACAACAAGAAGTAAAAGGATTAATTAATATTTACATTGACTAAATAATTAAAAATAAGAAAAAAATAACAACCCACGACCCCAAAGACCGCGGCAATTTCTCACAAAGAACGACAGTAACGTCCCCCCATTTTACCCATTACTCCTCTTTTCTTTCGTTCCACTCTGTCAACTCTAAACCCCCACTTTCTTTCCTAACCCCCCATTTTTCCTCCTTATATAAACTATAAACCTCCCTCTCTTTTTCCTAACCTCTCTCACTTCTCCTCTAAACAACAATGGCTCCTTCTTCCCTCCCTTCCTTCCTCTTTTCCTTCCTCCTCCTCTCCACCTACGCCCTCGCCGTTGGTACGTAATTTAATTCTCTATTGATACTATTATTAATCCTCTCCCGATACTTCTATTACAGTATCGGGAGGGATTTAGTAGGGTCCGATACACATTTTTTTAACGTGTATCGGACCATACTACCTAATATTATTGCATTTAATTTTTTTTAATATGGTCCGATATACCATCTTATCGGACTATACTATATTATACAAGGATATAATTCTAATACAATATTTGTTGTTTTGTTTTTAAAGAGACCGGACAAATTGGGATCAACTACGGAAGAATAGCGAACAACCTTCCAACCCCCGACAAGGTGGTACAACTCCTTAAACAACAAGGAATAACACGTGTGAAGCTCTACGACAGCGATGCAAGCGTCTTAAAAGCCTTCTCCGGTTCAAAAATAGCCGTGACCGTCGCCCTCCCAAACGAAAAGCTAGCCGAAGCAGCCGGTAGCCAGTCATTCACGGACTCATGGGTGCAAACCAACATCCTACCATACCACCCGAGCTCGAACATCATTGCCATCGCGGTCGGGAACGAAGCCAATGCCGACTCCAAAGTCACATCCTACGTCGTTCCCGCCATGAACAATGTCTATGCCACCTTACAAAAAAATTCTCTTGCAAATGACATTAAGATATCTTCTCCTATTTCTTATTCCGTCCTCCAAAGCTCGTACCCGGCTTCATCCGGGTCTTTTAAACAGGAACTTATGGACCCGTTTATTAAGCCTATGCTTGAATTCTTGAAGAAAACTAAGTCTTATATGATGGTTAATGCTTACCCGTTTTTTGCTTATTCGGCTAATTCCGGTGATATTTCGTTGGATTATGCCTTGTTTAGGCCCAATTCTGGTAATGTGGATTCGGGTAATGGGCTTAAGTATAATAGCCTTTTTGAGGCCCAATTGGATGCTGTTTATGCTGCTATGGATGCCCTTAAATTCAACGACCTCAAAATTGTCGTCACTGAAACAGGTATTTCTTTGTTTCATTCCGTATTACTTCTTCCGCTTTTTTATTATTCATTTAGTTTCGTAAAGATTATATAGTGATCATAAGCAATTTGTTACATCAAATTGTCCTTGCTAATCACAGAAATCCATACGATAATCATTTATTTAAGAAATATGATGTTCTAAACTTCTAATTACTATAAAGTATGTTTGTACTTACTACATATAATAAAAATGATTTATCAAATGACGTAGGTTTTAATTACGATAAAATAAGTTTATTCTTTTTACGTATAATAAGACCGTTACGCGTAATTTTATTGGTATTTGTTTTTGTCTTTAGTGCTAAACTCTATGGATGAATATTTCATTATTAAATAATCCATTATACAATAATTATTTGTATGAAAATTAATTAAATTAATTTCTATTTTTCCACAGGTTGGCCATCAAAAGGAGATGAAAACGAAATTGGAGCAAGCAGCCAAAATGCAGCAGCATACAACGGAAACTTAATCAAAAGAGTCTTAACAGGTGGTGGGACCCCCTTAAGGCCCAAAATTCCATTGGACGTTTACTTATTCGCTTTGTTCAACGAAAACCAAAAGCCCGGCCCAACAAGCGAGAGAAATTATGGGCTTTTTTACCCAACTGAGCAAAAAGTCTACGATGTCCCTCTAACCGCGTCTAAAGCTGCGGCGGCGGCTCCGGCAGTCGGCGCGGTGGCACCAGCGACAGGTGCAGTGGCTCCGGAAGCTGGTGCGGCGGCTCCGGCGACAAAGGCGGTGGCTCCGGTCGGTGGTGCGGTGGCGCCGGCGGCTGCGAATAATGCCGGAAAGACGGTAGTCCCTAAAGAGGGCCAGAGTTGGTGTGTGGCTAATGAGGCTGCCGAGGCCAAGAAGTTGCAAGCTGGGCTTGATTGGGCCTGTGGTCAGGGGAAAGCGGACTGCCGTCCGATTCAGCCTGGTGCCACGTGTTACAATCCGGGTAACCTTAATGCACATGCTTCGTATGCTTTTAACAGTTACTATCAAATGAAGACACGTGCGGCTGGTACGTGTGATTTTGGTGGTGCTGCTCATGTTGTAACACAAGCTCCTAGTAAGTTTTTGTTCTATTATGTTCTTTAATTTTAATTAGCTTATTAATTAATCATTGCAATTTATTTACTACGTATTTACTTATGATAACTTATGTTTATTATTTTTTAAATTGCAGAATTTGGAAGTTGCGAGTTTCCTACTGGCTATTGATGAGAATGAAGGAAGGACATATATGGATTTATAAAGCATTATTAATATTATTGAATAGATTTAGTGTTTTATTATCATATTATGCACATTAGTATAGTACTATTGTTATAATGAGTGATTTATTCACTTGTTAGTAATTTTTTTTAGATGATATAGATTTTATAGTATTCTTTTACTATTTATGTATCTAATTCTTTCCTACTAGTCCTAGTATTCAAGATGGAGATCAAGGTTATGGATTTCTTGGCATATATATAAAATTTATTTTCCCTTCTATTTTGCCATAGATCATCATTGTTGGTTTGAAATTTTATGTGATTGATGAAATTGAGAAAGTTTTGGTTGTTCGAAAGATATAATCTTTATCAACATTAGTTTACACTTAAAATATTGCGACTAGCGAGATCATGTCTTTAATACGTACATACACGTGCAAAGTAGTAGTTTTACTTCAATCTACTACATATTCAAAGTTTACAAACATGGAATATTGGTAGGATATGGGGAGCTTTTCCCTTTTTGTCATCTTTACCTGAGCCAAAATCAGAATTGAGATGGAAATAATTCTTCAACAAACAACGATCCAATACAATTTGTATTACACTTTACCTGATTTAGAAAGAAAGAAGGTGAAATATGCAATTACTTACTAAAGATTGCAAGTATGGCGTATTGGTGTAGGCTTATCATCATCTTTGTTTAGCTAAATTCACAACTATTGATGCATTTACCAAATATAGATTGTGCAATGGAAAGATAACATGCCTAAAAACTCTAAGGTATATAGAAGAAGGACTTCTCTTGACAATAGCATGAAAATTTATACCAAATTGATACATTGATTATGTTGATAAAAGTGTCCTATTATTTGAAACATTCATTAACAAAACGTGACCTGTTATGTCGAAACATATGCCACTCGTATCTCTAAAATTAGAATGGAGGCTTTGTAAATCAATTAGAATGTGTTAAATCCTCATTCAAAAAAAAAAAAAAACAAGAAGGATGAAATTGTGGGCCAAGAGGCCCATTGGATAAATGATACAGTAATAATCCGGCCCATATTATAATTGGGTTTTGACTATTCCCTAAATTATTTGGTAAGTTCAAGGAAATGTAGAATATAACTGACTGTTATCGGGTCAAATTTGGCAGACCCAATTACGCTTTACATCAAATTCAAGTATTCAACAACTATTTTTTCTCTCTCTTCAAGTCTTCAACCGTTAAATTTAGAATGCTGAATTGGATGAATTTCTGAGATTTTGTTGCCGAATTAGCAAGTTTTAGCTCAAGATTAGCAAATTTGATTGCTGTTTTTGCTCGAGATCAGCTGAATTGGCGAAACCTATTTCGAATTAGGGCAACGATTCGTACTCTCGGTAATCTATTTTTGTTTTAGGATGTTTTAATATAAGAATTGCAAATTTTTAGGTCAATTTATATCAAGCAAGAGATTATTAGACAAGTTTCAATTTGTTTGAAATTATTGGTGTTTAGGTTCTGTGAATTTAAATTTGACAAACAGAATGTTGCAAATTTTCTGAGATAACTTGTTGAATTCTGCATTTAGATTTGCTATGTGGTATTATTATACTCTTAAATATTGTTATACTTCGTATGATATTATGAAGTTAAATTGAATTGAATTAATCGCAGCATTTATGAGTATTACTATGATGAAGAAATGTTAGAAATTCATATGATATTACTTGTTTACTCAACATTAGTTTATGTTTGTATTTAGGATTAAGCAAATCATTGTAACCAGATGTAGATTGTTTATGGTGAAAACTTTTTTAGTTTTAAAAACAAGTCTAGGAAAATATGTATCTGAGCTGTGATTTTGATCTAGGATTTTGCAGGTCGTGGTTGTCGAGCAATTATGAATTGGTTGCAACGCAAGATCTACCTTTACAATGTCACTTTTGGACTCTATATGTTAGATTGGTGGGAGCGTTACCTTTTCAGTATCCTTGATGCTTCGTATAATTGTGCTCGAGTTTTTTTAATCTCTAATTTGTTGTGCTTTCTATTGTCTGTGTCTCAGCCATCAGTTCTAAATCATGGGGAACTACGGTATTAGTTGTTTTGTGGAGTTATAGTATTTTTTGTGACTTCTATGTGATGCTTAGAATCGCGAATTCTAATAAGGCATTTGTCGTGTCTGCTTTTTTCTATACATGCTGTTCTGAAGTAGCTTTCCTGTCAATGGCTTCCCGTGCCTTGATGTGATTCCAATCTAGTCTCGGTGTCATTATTTGCAAACAGCTACAATTACTTATACCTTTATTTCAGGATGGATACTTGCTATACACTGTTAAATCAATCTAACTCTTGAGAACCTCAGAAGCTATGCGATTGGGTCAAATACCGCTTGCTTAAATTTACAGAGTACTTCGTATTTAAGAAGTGAGAGTGGATTAAGTCTTGCTAGGTTACTTATGGCCTTTTCTGTTGCATGTGATGTATGGATTAAGTCTGTTTATTAAAGCTTATGAATTCCTTATATTGGATTTTGATAAAGTGATTTTTGCTATACGAAGTTAGTCTGTTCACAGGAATTTCTTTGTAGTCTTAATATTGAGCTCCTTAACTTGAACAGATACACTAATCATTGTGTTAATGTGGTTTATTTTATACAACGGATCACAACAAGTATCTGAAATATGGAAGAGGTAATGTAAATTATCACATGCTTGATTTAGTGAGTGTGTTTTTAGTTTGGTGACAATGTGATTTGGTATATTCCTCTGACATCTTTTTTTACTAAAAGAATTGTGAGAGAAAGTGAGAAACTGTCTCACTCGTCAAATATTGACTAAATCAGAGAAAGGCATGTATAGTATTGTTAAATTTTGTCAAAAGATATGATTTGTAGGTCTTTGCAAGTATTATTCAATAATATGTATTACAGAAAGTGAAAAAAAATCGCTTAATAAGGTATCTCTTTTGTATCTCTTTGCAGTTCTCTTGACTATGCTCATTCTCAATCAACATTGAAAAGGTATGTACTTTCTTTTTCTTTTTATTCCTTGTGTAAATGGACTAGGTGTGTTTGTTCTCATATAATATATATGAATTATATTATCCGAATCCATCTTGGAAGGATCAAATCGTTGGCTATTCTGAATGGTATGCTATCATACCAGTACCATTAGAGTAGAATTTGGCCGCTTTTTCTGGCTAGGATATCAAACTCATATACTTTTAAGATCTATTGCCTAACTTTTTGCACCTTCACATCACCGGATTTCTGGCATCATCTAGAAGACTATAGTCTATAAGTGGTGCTTTATGAGGACCTTAAATCTTCTTATATAATTTATTTCTCGATCCATTTACCTTCTAACTTATTATGGAAGGGGTTGCTCATAAGGGTCCAAAGAATTATCCAAGATATTTTTATAAATCCTCTGATATGATTTATTGTAGCCCAACGAAAATCGAGAACAAGGACGAACAAGATTCTCAGATAGCCCACATATTTCCCCTCTGACTTCTAATATCCCTCTTAACGAGTTCAGATTCTGGGCTGATGCTGAACCGTCTTTACTTTTACATTGCAATCTTTTTTCCCTTGTAATATGCTAAGCTAGCTCATATCAAATTCTATCCAGGTAAGTAAACCATGTATTTACTTCCCTTGATCACTTCTAAGCCTGCGGCCTGCCCATCAAATGCTGTGTTGGCCTTTCTTACTTATATCCTTCGATATTGTTCCGTTGCTTTAATCTGCATATCAATCTTATATCAATAGGATCGAACTGTTTGTTGATGTACATCTTCAATTACCTTTGACAATTGACATAGACAACAAACTTTTTGAGTGTGATGTTTGCGGTTCTATATCCCAAAGCATCTTTCTTCAGCAATGCGTTTGTCATCTTTGTTAAACCAACGCTTTGTCCACTGCACTTTTAAGCCTACTCGAAGCTTCTTATGTCAGTATTAAGCTCTCCTATGTTGTAAAATTGGTTAGTGTATTAGTGCTCAAATATTTCTCATTTTCTGACTTGTCCCGGGGGGGGGGGGGGGGGACAAAGATAAGAGACATGTTCAGAGATTTTCTTTGGCCTCTGGATTAAATAATGAAAACTATGCTTCTATATAATTTTTATTCCCTTTAATTGAGTGCCAGAGTATCATTATGTATGACATTATCCACTCACAGAAAATGGTTTTACAGGTTATTATCATAGTTACATTGACTGACCATTTTTTCATTGAGTAAAACTCAAAAACATCTAGTATATGCTACAACATCTTTTCTTATTTGCTAAAAAATGACAACCGCATTTATGTTTGAATCTTCTGTAGGATGAACCTTAATATATCTGAAGTATCTTTCAAGTCTCAACCTGTAGTGCAAGGGGTGTTGCTTTAGTTCCTACTCCCTGTTTTCATATGGAGGGGTAATGTTTGCTTAAAGCTTAGTGATGACTGCAACCTCTTTATTTGCACTGAGGCTTTCTATCAACCTTTCTATGCACTCATTTCTTTAATCTATGTGTCTGGTTTTTAGTTTAGTTTAATGATGGTGTATCTTTCTGTGTTATAATGATTTAATCGTCTGCCTTGCATTTGCTAATACTTTAATGGTTGTATTGATATGCTTTTGCTCATCATTTTCTACAGGCAAATATGGGGAGGTGCGTAGAAAATTTTTAGATACCTCAACTTACAATGGGAAGATGTAAGAAGTAATGCCACAGTTGATGTCGGACAGAACTTCTAATCTGCTGGAAATTACTGGTAGATCCTATTGAATGTGGCTTTCGGGATTGTCTTTTTGTTTCTTTTACTCTGTAATCTCTATATTCAATAGGATGATCATTGATATCGATTTTTGTTTCTCATCATATATTGACCCTTATTATAATATTCCATGTTAATATTGTATTTTGAGAATGAAATTTTTGGAAGAGGGTCATCATTGAACAATTACTAGGAACAACCTTTCATTTTCAATTCTTTTGAAATTACAAATTTATATTTTGATTATACATCTTGGCTTTTGAATGTTTCCAGTTAGAACTTGCCACTCATTCTCGTCATTTGATTGTTCACCAATGTAATAATTCACCATTGAGTTACTACAATTATTATTATCTTTTTTCCCATGATTATCAGAATTTGCATTATCTGTAGTAGTCATCAACCTCATGATCGTCTTTTGCTAACATCACTATAGTCTATAGTATATATTAGTTCATAATATTGACAGATCAATGACTTTAGCAAAGCTCTGTATTTTCCCCATAATTACCTTTGTGCACATCCGTTACTATGCAATCACATATGCAAGTCAATCTAGGCTATAAGGGCAACTCCGCCAAGATTGATCACTTGCATATGTGAGCACAACCTCTACAGATTTTTTCACTACAACATGTTTGTCTCAATAATTCGAGTAATTGTTACAAGTCAGGTTACAATTTGTGTAACTTGTTATGCTAGGGCTAAATGTTTCTTCAGTGAGACTATTTTTCCGATTGCAGTATCATTTTCTAGCTGAAGTGAAGATATATGACCGAATAAAGTTACAGAGTACTTCAAATTATGGCAGAAATCCAAAATATTCAAGGCTAATAGAGTATATTAGCAGTTTAGCACTAATATAGAACCATTTACATTGCAAGCTCACTAACTAAGATTAACAGTAGTGTCACCTTATAGCATGCATTGGGCTGCTAAAATCACAATAGGGGGTGTTTCTAAGTACTGAACATAATATTAATTGCCACTGCATTTGGCGATGCCCTTGGGAAGCTTGATATCTGTTTAATAAATTCGAGCCCCTCTGTTGAAAACAACGTATCCTTGCTACTGCAGCGAATAACCAGTTCGTCCAAGACTACGGCACTTTTAAGCACAAATTCTATCAGCTGAATTAGGCCTTTATATGGCTTCTCGCATTCATGTATGGTGATAGTTTTAAGCTTCTTCAGCACACAAGGAGAAGAAAGCTCGCGCTGAAGCATGTTGCAATCACAGAAATAATCCTGAAGAATAAATTAAACGAAGCAAGTTATATGAAAGTATATAACAATATGTATACAGTATACGTACATTAGCTTGATAAACTCAGTATGCTGATTGACCTACCCCATTGGCATAGATAATAAGTGTCTGCAAGCATTGCGACGCTTTTAGCAGCTTACAAATAATGTTTCGTAAGCAGCTTCCATGGACTCTTGGTCTCAAAGATAAACGAACCCATTTGTTATCTTCCAAATCCAGTTTCGAATTTCCACACTGTCTTAATTGCTGGTGAAGAGTGGAACAACATAATTAGCACTTTAATAACCGAACAAATAACACAATAACTTTGATTTTGATAATCATACTTGGCAATCAATCTATCATGAAAATTCAATCTATTGGACTACATGATTGATGCATGCATCCACAGTAGTATCCTAATCTAGATGATACCACAAACATGTAATAGTCAATAAACACCGAGATTTTGAGAGAAACTTAAGCCTGTTTAATCACCTCGTGCATGATTAGAAGCTTTCAATTCAGGAACAAGTAAGAATTTGTAACCCCCAACAGAGCAAACATTGTACATGACTGACATTTGTTAACATCGTTAATGCATCACAAGTTATTATTATCCGTACCTTTTATCGCAACAAGCACAAGTTGCTAGCTAAAACGATTAGGTATCTACTCACATTTATGTCAAAAGCACAACAAGAGCATGGGCAAATATAATGATAGGAATCGTGTACAAAGTGCTAAGACGAAAAGATATGAAAACTAATTCCAATGTATACTACACATTGTAAAAACCAAAAACATGAAACAAGTTTCGGGTGTCAGCTTTCAAAATTATCATGCTTTAATGATTCATTATTGAACATAAATCATATTATTTGGAAAAAAAAAAACTAGAACGATGTCAAACGGATCCTTTATAATTTTATATTATTGAAAACAAAAAATAAACTCACCGCATAAGCTTCATAACCCACAATAAGAACCTCAATCTTTGGGAACGCATGAACTAATTGACCCAAACCGCGATGAGAAATGCCGTAGGGGTTGATCGAAGCATAATAAACAGATGAAACATTGATAAATTGTAGTTGACTCATATATGATTTTTCAACATGCAAGATCCTAAGGTTAGGACAATCAAGTGTAAAACTCATCACATGTCTTTCATGAAGACTAAGCATCAACATTTCGATATTCGGAGCCGTAAATTGTACACCTTGTAGACCAATAGGGTTCACTATAAGCAAGTCTTTCAAACAAGGGGATCCATCTATCACTTTTTCAAGCGCTCCTTCACAAAATCTCACATCGACAAGTTCCAATCGCATCAATGATCCCACGAAAACCGGGCGTTTGAGCCCGATTTTTATATTACTGAGAACGAGCGTGACAATGTGCTGACTTTGAAACACATGAGGAGGCACAACACATAATTTTCCATACTCCATAAAAAGAAAAAGGTCTTTGGTTTTTTTTGTTGAAGCTAGTTTTGCACATTTTGTTAGAGTTGCTTGTGAAAGTCCAACGACGTCGCACAATTCCAACGTGTGAATGACGGGGCTTTTGTGATGTTTTAGCACATTGCATACTAATTTATCGTCATTGGGATGTTCGAATGTAAGGGTAGGAATCAAAGTCCATAAGTTTCCGAATCGACGAAGTAAGACTGTTCGAACAGCGTCTGTAGTTGGGAGAAAAGAGAGAATATGGACAAGTAGTTCATCTGGTAATTCACTTAACCGATCTCTTTTGTTGCCGTGTTCGATTTTTTTGATGCCTTTTTTGCCTCGTAATTCTGTAGTATTCATGTTTTTTGTTAAAAACAATACTGGAGGAAGAGGGCTAGGGTTAGGATAAGAAGAAAATATTCTAGTGTGGTTTGTTGTTAAGATATATATATATATATATATATATATATATATATATATATATATATATATATATATATATATATATATATATATTAATCAGGCGAAATCTAATCTAATATATATAAATAAAGTAGGCATTTTTTATGTATCTAAAATTTTAGAATATAATCCAGAAATTAAATTATTTTAATAAAAAAAATAATGTAAAAATATAGGAAAAAATAAATTTATTAATTCAATACTACGAGTATACCAAAAAAAATATACTAAAAAATATTTAAATGATTGATACCTATCATTAAAAGATAAAAACATATATATATATATATAATTTTTGGAGAGCATTCAGAGCACCACGTAAGAACTATACTTATTTTGATCAATAAGAAAAAAGATTTGTATGTTATATTTGAATTAAAAAATTATGTCACCACCTAGATAAAAGTAACAAATTAGATTTGTAATTTTAATGCCACGCAGAATATAATCTACGAATTAAATTATTTTAATGAATAAAGTAAATCTATAGGAAAAGATAAATTTATTAATTGAATACTATGAGTATAAGAAATTTAAAAAAAAATATAATAAAAAATATTTAAATGATAACGCTTATAATAAAGTTTGATACCTATCATTATAAGATAAATTTTGATAGTATTTATGATAAGAAATACAAATTGTTCGTTTATTATAATTAAATTAAAATTTGTGATACCTACCCTTATAAATTGACACATCATACGACACAAACAATATTTCGTATCAATAAAAAAACCCATCAAGCAAATATTGTGTTAGTAATTTTGTGTTAATTTTTTGTCATCAATGACTGGGTAATTTTTAGTTTAATTTTTTTAAAATCCTAGGTTTAAATTAGTATTTCTAATTATTACCTACATTGTATTAATTTGTGATATTCAACAATTATATGTTTATGTTTTATTTACTAAATGTTTTTTTACATGCAGATCTAACACATCATACGGCACAAATAAAATTTCGTATCAATACAAAACCCCATCAAGCGAATTTTGTGTTGGTAATTTTGTGTTAGTTTTAGGTCATCAATGTCCGGGTAATTTTTTAAAATCTTATGTTTAAATTTATATTTGTAATTATTAGTTATATTGTATTTATTTAGGATACTTAACGATTATTTGTTTATGTAATGGCATACGATTAGATGTTGTATACTTAGTATATGGATGGCTTTGGTTATTTTTGGAGATGATTAAAAAATTCTAATGTATAGATTTGATTTTATATCGCAATAATTTTTTATTTATTGGTAAATATATTGATTTATTTATATAAATGTATAGATTTAATTTATATCAATTTCAGTTTGGCTAACATTTTACGGTTCAATTTATCCATTGATGTAGTAGGTTGGTTGTGGACGAGTGTGGTGATTTATCGAAATAAAAGATATGGTAAAACACTGAATAATGATTTAGGATTTAAATTATTAAAAATTTATCATTTCACATTAAAGATTTTATATAACGGAAAAATATCATATTTACAATTTATGTATATTTAATAAATTCATTATAAATTATAGTACAAATAAATATTAAACTTTTGTAATTTTGTCTGAAATTATTAAGTACAATAAATCAAATAATTAAAAATCTTAGATGAAAAAACCGTGTATCACACGGGTTTTCATCTAGTCTATATTATTTGCATCCATATTCTATATTGAAGACATATATACGATAGGTCACATATTTAAATTTCTCGAGCCCATTTGTGTACAAAGCATGGAAAATACAGAGTATATCATATTAATATATGTTCTTATAGCATTAGCATGCACCATCAAACTTTACGAAAAGTAATTAAACAAGGGTAACTCATTCGACAGTACTTGTATAACAAATAATTATGACTTATGAAACTATTCTGTTTTTGTTAAATTTACAAACCGCGCTTAAGTGATACAAGCAACAAATGTGAATTATTAAAATAGTGAATAATGTTATAATGTTATTCATCAGTATACATTTTCTAGTGTCCGTATTGTACGTGTATCCGAATCTTTATCTATACAAACTACCCTAGATTAGAACTACCACCACCAAACCTTCATAAATTGGTCAAGTCTTTATGACAGTTTCAGAAGTTCTGAACTATAATATGCTTAACATGTATTGTAAGATGCATATGCAAATTAAAAAACATGGATGTGCTTTGAAGTTCTTCAAAATTATAGGACAATTAATTGGTTATTTGGGGTCTTAAGTAGCTAAGGGTGTCAAAGGAAAGGAAAGAAAGGCAGGCTGTAAGGGTGACTCCACTACGAGTCTATGAACGGCTGCATCCCAGTCGAGATCACACCAACATAGTAAAACGATCAATCCAAACTGCATAATGATTTTCTAGCTCAAAAGTTATATGAACAAATAGTGGTACTTAATATTATGGCATAAACTCTTCTTTATATTTACACAGAAAGGAAACAGCATTTATCATCAAGGAGAAAAGTTCTTTGGAAAATAAAGAGTCTTAGCAAAATACACCAAACTTGCCATAGTACAAAACAAGTAAAAACAACAGGAATGAAAATAAGAACAGCTAGCAGTCAGAGTAATAGCACAAGCATATCTGTTGTGGGAAGAGAAGCTTGAAAACAAAAGGTTTTAGTTAGTATTATAGGTAACCACCTGAAGCTGAGAAGAGAGGCTAAGCAGTGTTCTAGCTCGGAATTTAAATACTGTAAGTGTCAAACAGTTCATCAGGCAGGAAGAAATGGATCATCCTTCTCTCAGTCTGGCACAAACTCTTCATTGGCTTCATATTTATACACTTATACAACAAAAGCATTCTAGGCTAATAGCTAGATTAGTTATAGCACTAATATTGAACCATTTCCAATGCAGTTAACTTCAGATGGATTAACAGTGACAGAGACGAATTACCAATGCTGAATTCATAATTACTTAACATGAATTTCAACTTTGGCTTTCGGTGACGCCCTTGGGAAGCTTAACAGCTGCAGAATGAATCCTTGGCCCTCTGCTGAAAACAGTTCATCCTTTCCACTGATTTCAATAGCCACTTCTTCCAAAATGACTGCACTTTTAAGCACAAATGCTATCAGCTGACCAAGGGCTTCACATGGCTTCTTGTATTTACTAATGATAAAAGATCTAAGATTTCCCAGCACACAAGGAGAAGATAGCTCATGCATGAGCATATTGCAATCACAGAACAAATCCTGAAATTTTAGTACATGAATTATCTCAATGTTATTGATAGGTAAGACCAAATTAAATACGTACTAGTATCGTAGTATCATATACTTCCTCCCCTTAACTTTTAGTGAAACTATTTGAAAAAAAAGCTCTCACAGTTTTAGTCAAACTGTTGCAACTAAAAGTGAAGGAAGTATACTTCTAAACAACTTCGTATTAGCTAGATAAATCGATAAGCAGATAGATGACCTACCACATCAGCATATATTGTAACTTCCATTAAGATCGATGAGCTTTTTAGTAACCTGATAATGTCTACCAGACAGCTTCCATAGATTCCTGGCCTGAGAAGTAAATATCTTCTAGGTGCTCGAAAAATCAGTTTCTCACGTCCATATTCTCCACAGGGTTTTAATTGCTGATACAGAATGAAACACAACATTAGTAATATCCCAATAATTGTCTTATACAAGTAGTTAAAGTGCGTGTTTTACTAAGCAATGATCACCCATAAATAAATACACCATGCAAAGAAATGAGCATTATGTTTCATACTCCTATCCTAAGCTAACATATAGAAACAAAGATAATCCTGCCCTAACATTCAGGGTCAAGTAGCGATTCGTATCCCACAACAAAGCATAATGATTGCAATTCATACACAACTATATATGAGAGGATTACAACTCAATACTGCCTCTAATCTAAAATACATTTTAAAGCAAATTTCTTTTGATACAAAACTTAAGCAATTCAGCCAATGTGATATCAAATGACACTTCCTAACATGAATGCATCAGTACCATACTATCTATTAAGATGTTACATTACATTTCCAAATATAAATCCAACTAAATTTATCCAACTTCTTACTAAGCTATGTGCAACGTGCATATATTGCAAAAATGACAAACAGTTTATATACATAAGAGACCAACTAATTACATCATAGGTATCATCATAGTACGAGCAGATTATGTATGTGTAGCAACATGACTATGCTAATTCTCATATATAAAGCACACATAGTCAAAAGTGGTGTATGTGAATAGTGTAAAGTCAAATAGGGCACTTAAATATATGAAGAGGTAGTAATTTATACTTTAGAGTAATAATAAGTAATCAAAGAAGAGAAACCAAAACAAGTGAAGTGTGCATCTTTTTTCATTAAAAGCTAGAATAAGGAGGCAAAAACTCACAATGTAAGCTCCATTTCTATCATCCAATTCTAAAAACTCGACATTTCGAAGCTTGTTGAGTAATTTGTCAAATTCGCCCTGAGCCATGTTATTCGGGTCATCACAGTACGGCTCACATCCAGGCCACTCTGTACATCGATTGATCTTGGCTTCTTGAACAGATGAAGCATTAATCACTTGTAGAAATCCCAAACATATTCCTTTAACATGCAAGATCTTAAGGTTAGGGCAATTCAATGTGAAAAATTGCTCCTCTATTAATGTTACACTATGATCAAAATGAAGCTCCAATTTTTCAATGTTAGGAGCAGTAAAGTGCAACTTAGTCAATTTGTGAGAATACTTTATCACCAATTCTTGTAATCTTGGACACCCACTTGTTAAAACTTTGAAAGTACCATCATGCATAATCACATGAACAAGTTCCAATTTCCTTAATGAACTCATATCAACTTTACCTGGGAATTTAATCTCAATGTTATAAAGATAAAGCGAAACGATGTATCGATTTCTGAAGGCATCAGATGGAAGATAGTAAGGACTAGGAGACCAAAAATCATCATTTTGAACACTTACAGCTTTTGGGTTTTTGTTTAAGGCAACATTTGTCAAGTTGATCAAATTTTGCTTGGAAATTTTATGCACAAATAACAACTCAAAAATATTTGGACCAAAAAAAAACAACTCAAACTTATCAAGGGTAGGACTTTTGTGAAATTTCATAACATTGAACATAAATTTGTCGCCTATTGCTCTTATCAAACCTAAGGGTAGGAATTAAAGTCCATAACTTTCCGAATCGACGAAGTAGGACAGTTTTAACAGCCTCTCTAATTGGCAAAAAACTAAGAATGTGGATAATTAATTCATCGGATAATTCACTTAACTTATCTTTTTTGCAATTCCCTTTATCACACTCCTTTTGCTTCTTCATTGAGATGAAATTCATCAATTTTCAGGTTGAAATCTGCCACAAATACAATGTACAAAATTAGTAGCAAGAACATGAATAATTAAAATAAGATTATTGGATTTTCTGATTTAATTGAAATCTTACCTCATAAAATGCAGAGAGAATTGCTGCCAAAGAAGTTGAATGAAAGAAGCAAATTAAAAATTTCCGGGTACAACAAGTACTGTATTAACCTAAAGCTGGTTTAGTTCAACTTATTTTTACTTATTTCAAAAAAAATAATTTCAGATCAGAACATCGTTTTATGTTCAGTTTTTTATCGCTAAATATTCTTAATTTCGTAATGAAAAAAATTGTGAAAATTACATATTAATAGACTACACATTATTACGAATCTAACAAGATCTCACTTCATATATTTTTTCCTTATAAATTATCGTACACTTAAGGTCAAAGTTTGGTCAAATCAGACAATCAGATCAGATCAGATCAGTAAAAATAAGGTGAACCAAACAAGGCTAGACAGAAGTCCTTTTTTTTTGTCTGTAAAAAAGTAAAACCCTATGATTGGATTGGTAACATAGACTATTACTACTTATGCAGACCTTGCAGTAAAGATTATGGGGTAAATATTTGCTTTCTCTTAAAACATGGGATTTGATACTTATGATAAAGACTTTGTCGCTTTTTTTTTTTTTTTTTCTAACATGGGATATTAAAATTTTCGTTTTATTGTATATAGAAATGAAATTATGAATTATATATTTTAAGAGGTGGGGATCAGATTGTAAAAAGTAAAATGGGATAAAAAAAAAATAGGTTCGGAGGGAATACAAAAGAGTGAGGTGCATGCCCATATTTGCGGGAAAATTCCTAATGTACACAAAAATTAAATATTTCTATGAAATGTGTATCCAACTTACAATATTGTTATGGAGTACTCGTACGAGTATTTGTTAAGCATATACCCCCTCATTTCCTATTTTAATGTTTTAATTATGTTTGATTTTTTTACAACCTTTGAAACATGTCTTAAAACGTATATATCTCTATTTTTATATCTATAAAATTATAAAAATTTAATACTAATAAATTATATAGTGAGACGATTCCTACAAAATTTCGCATGACTAGATTAATGAAATTATATGGTCACGTATAGCAACAATAACCCCTTTGCCAAGAATTTTAAGAAAGAGATTTAGCATGTAAAGGAGAAAATCAAATACAGGGTAAATGATTAAAATACAAACTAAACCAAGGGTAACTATAAATTATCTGTGTTAATTTAATTTGATTAATTTGCTTGTTTACACTCTAAACCTTCGTTTAAACTGTGTGTCAAAAAACGTATGTTGCTAGTAATATACTTCATACTTCGTATAAGCTAAGGAAGTACTAATCAATATCAGATCATTGTTGTGGGTCTAGAAAATTCGAGACATTTATGTGTCATTTGGATCTTAAGAATTAAGGTTGTCAAAAGAAAATAAAAATGCAATCAAGCTACTATCTAAGGGTGAATATAATCCACCAAGGTCGATCTCCGCACACCACCAAGGTCCAAGGATCTTATTTACCTCTCAATTTTCATCTTCCAAATTCATCAGTATGTTTGTGTCATTATTAGTTGTTATAACTTAGATAATGTGTGGAAATTGTTGCAACATTAACAGGCCTTAGTTTATCAGACAGTTTTTGCAAATTGGTTACATGACCATAATGGTGCGAAATAAAGATAGAGCACATATTATAGCACAAATTCTCAATAAGCTTCATAGGTACTGCAATCACAGAACAAATTCTGAAAAATCTACATGAAAAAAAAAAAAAAAAAAAAAAAAAAAAAAAAAAAAAAATCATGCTATATGTGTGCTGATCTATATTAGCTAGATAAATCAATAGGCAAATATATAGACAACCCACATCAGTTTATACAATACAAGCAAGTTTTTTCAAGCACTTTGAGCTTCTTAGCACCCTGAATCCTGATGATGTCTAGCAGACAGCTTCGATTGATTCCTGACCTTAGAGCTAAATGAACATTAGCAATTATATTGCACTAATTGATATATAATATTGTGATAAACTAAGCAATAAACACTACCAAATCATTGCACATACCTATAGCCTTCTACCAATCTCAGCACAATTTGCATGATTTCCACAAAGAGCACAAAACCAGGGTATGATGGTTGCAATTATATACTTATAACCTAAGAAAAGCAGGCAAACACGATTGTTGAAGCAAAAAAACCAGACTGGAAAGAGTTCAAAGAAATGTAACCTAAGATAAAAGAGGCAAACATGATTGTAGAATGTAGAGCGAACAATGCCAAAAGAGAGCTAAAAACATCAGTCCTAGAATCCACTAATCATAAAGTACAAGCAGGGAATCACCAAAGTAGACTGTATCTGGAGATGCCACAATCAAAATCCGAATCATACGAATCCTAATTAGAGAACTGCTCTAAATCGCTAAAAACTTGGTTATAGTCTGAAGTGGAATCACCAGGTTGTCGCACATATTTGATCTGCTCACATTTTTTGCCCAATTCTCCCGACAAATCAATGAAAAAGCATGCGCGTAAATCAAGAGATTCAAGAAGAGGGCATCCATCAAGAATTGCTTTCAAGCCTTCATTTGTCATAAAAGTTCCTATCAGTTGAAGAGTGCGCAAATTAGGCATGCTCTTAGCAATGGCTAATGCTTCCTCATTATCAGCATCAGCGTACTCATAATCAGGCGCAATATCATTTAAAGTAAATGACTTCAGAGGAGGACAAGTGTGGCCTATAGCTTCAATTGTATCCACAGAGAAAGAACATATGATAATCGCCACTTCCTCAAGTGCAGGGAGCATTTTAACAGCTTCAATCAGTACTCCATCTGAAACACCAGTGTAATGCCCAAGTCGTAGATGTTTTAGATTCTTCGACCTATTCAAAATTAATTCAGAGTTGCAATAACCGGCCAAAGAATTAAATAGGTATTAGTACAAAGAATTAAACTTATGTTTTGTTTCACAAATTTCCCTCACCACCTATATAAGGCCAATAACTTCCTCTATAGTGATAATCAAATGAAATGAAAAATCATGATGAAAAAGACATTTGGAGGAGGGCAAGGGTTAAATGCATATAAATTCATTCTAATTACCACCAAACAAATCAAACGAGCCATAAAGACAATAAAATTTTACTTGTACTAGTTGTACATACATAAGTAGCAAACATTGTAGTGTAGCACAAGCACTCACAATTTCGAAACACCTAGTTTTTAGATTCCCTCTCACAACATTAGCACATCTTAATCTTAAATTGCACATTTGCACATCATATAATGAATGCACAAAGATAAGTCACCATGTTCAAGAACAGGGTAGCACCATAAAAATTCCATCATATCTTAATTATCTTTTTCTTGAACAACAAAAACAAACATTAGCCAAAATATGTCCATAATATATTAATATCTCACAATTCTTGACTAACATAATTGACAAAATTTAATCAAACATTAAAAAAAAAAAATGCAAACTTGTAAACACCCAGAATAAAATTTAAGCAACCCACAAAATGACATTACCTTTCAACGATGTACATCAAGGTTTCATCATCACAAACACTCTCCAAATAGATATCAACCAAACACCCGCAACTACGATCAACCGCATATCGAGTCATCGCATTAACATAAAAGGTTAAGCCCATATAAGCATCTGGTCCATCTGGAAGCGTCATATAAATTGTCTTGAACATGGAAGGTTGTTTGCAGAGCGTACGAAACAACATTCAAACCTTTTGAACATTTTCGATTATTTGAATTGTGTCTAATTTCGATAGGATTAGGACCCAAACTTCATCTGGAAGCTCCAACCAATTGGGGTTGTTCTTCTCCATCTTCAAATTTTGAGAATTGTTCATCTTGTGTTTGAACTTGGATGGTTTTGTAGAAGTAGATAGTTGAGGAAAACTAGGGAAAATGGAGAGTTTTTGTCATGACAGTGTGACTTCTAGTCTTCTACAAGTAATTCAGGGATAAATGGCCTTTTTACAACAGTTGGTATTTAACGTATGGTCAAAATTTGAATTAATGTCACAACTTACAAGATTCCCAATTCATTCACATGAAACAATATTTGGATTAATGCTGAAGAATTGGGAAATAAATAAAACACTCTTCACAGTTGGTAAACAATCAACAATTTATTCACACAAGTATGTACTTGAAGTAGATTAAAATTGTTTCTTCAAAAAAAAAAAAAAAAAGTAGAGCATCATATTCATCGAGACAGCGCCAAATCACTTAAGATATAGAAGCAGGGCAAACATTACAAGTGATATTTAGAAATTTTGTGTTAGATTCATCAGCGACAAAATTAGTCCCCCCCAGATTCATTAACAGACTTTGGAATTCAGGGATTATGAAATTTCTAGAAAATCCAGTACTGGATCCAAAGTAAACAATAACTAAAATGCTTCTGAAAAAAAAGAATTTTAGTGAATAAAGAGAAATGAAAAAGAGAAATTAATTATATGCACAAGACAACTTCATTAACAGACTTAGAGTTTCTTACAAGAACTAGGCCTAGCAAAAATGTTCAAATGTTTAGTATGTATGTCACTTACGGTTCTCTCCGAGCAAATAAATGATGGAAAAAACAGTCAGAATGGATCATTTGTAGTCCAAGTCCAAAAAGGCAAGAAGCCATTTCCACCGTAGTAATGGTGTGGGAAATCATCATCGATAACGTCAGCGTAGTAATGGAGTGGGAAATCATCCTCAGAATTCTCAAAATAATAGCTG